AGAGTTTTCAGGTGTGTCAAGAGCCTACTCACTGACAGCTTGAGGATGCTCCCAGGGACACATACCCGGTTGTCTGCATTGTCTATGGAAGCCCCTTTCCCTAGGGCTTGAAATGAGGGCCAAGCAACTCTACCTGATGCCCCAGGGTGGAGTGTGTGCCACTCCTAGTTCATTGAAAGCTCTTTCCTGAAATTCTCGTCTAGTTTTATTTTTATCTTGACCTTTCCACCTTGGTGATGGGTTAAGAGTTGCAAAACCAGTTTTTGGAAACCTCCTTTGCAAGTGCTATGTGGTAGTCCTTCACCTATGGAAGGTGGACATAGTTGACATCTATTGTCTTGGGGGACAAATGCAAAACTGAGTCTGACATAGTTCCCTTTTAACCTCCCGTTATGTGCAGATCTCACAAATTCAGTGCCTTTCTTAATCTTTAAGTAAAAGGTACATCCAGACACTGGAGAGTAGTGCTAAAACAAACTATTAGGGAACTGAAATGACCATAAAAGAACATAATGAACAAGCAGAAATAATCCAACCAGCACCTTAGTTTTGATTCTGGCATTGCTTTTTACTCCAGAAGCAAGAGTTGAAAGAAACTGACCTGCATTTTAAAATGTATTTTTTAATGGTCAAGGAATATGCTATATTTCTTCAAATTTGTTAAAAATAGAAACTCTAGAGTTGGATGGCATCATGGTTAGGGAAGAAAAATTCTGTAACTGAAATAGATGGTTTTAGTAATTCACATGTCTCAATTTGTATTCTAGTCATAGCATACTTCTTAAAAGGGTGGTAAAAATAACGTGTTTTCTCTTTCCAAATTCATTTGTCTAGTTTCTGTAACATACACCCTCACAACGAATTACTAACTCAGGGACAAGAGGTAGAGAAATTACAGAGGTTGCTAAGAATACCTGCTGACTCTTATTTTCTACTTCTGCTTTAGAAGTTGTTTAGAAAATCTAATCAAGACAGGCTTACATCCAATAGAAACAGAGAGTGAATACATGTGCTTCGGAGCAGGTTTTTAGGAGAGAGCTTTCCCCATGGAACTGTGACCATATTGGGGAAAGAAGAGCTCAGAAGACATGAGTTATGCTTCTCTTGCCTGGGGAGGTGTTTGCTTAAAAAACATGCTGCCCAAGTATTTAAGCCTTCAGGTTAGCCTTTTTCCAATTGTTGGCAGAGTGAATGAGCATAAACTATATCTGATGAACTACAATTCGCACAAATACTCATTTTGAAGCGGATAAAATTATTTCAAAACTGAAGGAAAATTGTTTAGTAAGAGAAACTTGTACTTCCTACAAAAGGACTGGATTTTTTTGCTCCACCTTTTTAGTAAAGTTTAGTAAAATTTTGTTTAGTTAGCTAGAATGAACAGAAGAGTTTGGGAATACATTTTATTCATTTTTTTAAACTAAAGGTTAGCAAACCCTGGCAGAAAAACCAAATGTAGCCTGATACCTGTTTTTTGTAAATAAAGATTTATTGGAACATAGTCGTGCTTGTTTGTTTACAAATTGTCTCTGGCTAACAATCTCTGTTGCATTGCAACAGCATTGTTAAGTAGTTGGGACAGAGACCATATGGCCTGCAAAGCCTAAAATATTTACTATCCTGTTCTTTACAGGAAAAGTTTGCGGATCCCTGTTCTAGATTAATGAAAGTACTCAGTATCGGTGTTTTTGTGGTTATATATGGCATAAATGGCTGTTAATTCTCTGAATTATTATTAATTTTAAATATTTCAGTGTCTTTTGTACTTGATTATATATTTCATTAAAACAACTGAATCAATTCTGAAAATTGGTATGGCCTGTTTGCCTAAAGGACAATACACTGGACATTACAAAACTCATTTCTGCTTTTCAAATCCCTTGGACAGTAAAATAATTTATTTGTTGATTTGCATTTTACTACTTATAAGCACCTTGGGAAGACATTGTGTAGTAGAAAGCATGCTGTCAGCACTCACAAAATGTTTTCTAGATTTATTGGAACAATTTAAAATGTCAGTGAAAAGAAAAACTTTTCTTCCTTTGTGTTCTTCGGTTTTCTATGATGGCTGGATGCCTCCACTCCTTGGGGCATTCATGTTCCTTCTACGTAAAGGGCAGAGAGTTAAGGTTACTCTGTGGATCATTTGCCTCTTCAGGGTTGTTTGATCCTTCTCAAGAGAAGATTATTTTAATGCGTTGCAGGAGATGCTGCCTAATAACTGAGGCTGATTTATTGAGTACTGTAAGAACCAGACTGGGGACAAGAATGGACTCATTTATTAATTTATACTTATGTTTATTTAACAAACATTGAAGGCATGCTTTACCAGGTTCTGTGCTCTCAAGGATTTCATAGTCTCTTACAGGAGATGGACACGAAGCAAGTGATTATCATATATTGTGTTAGGCAAGATGATTGAGTTATAGACAGGATATTATAGGAGAGAAGGGGCATCTAACCCACCATGGGGAGAGGGCAATCAAGAAAAGCTATTTGAAAGAGGCTAAATCCAGATCAATAAATCCAGGACATTGTGTCAGAAATTGAGGTGGAGATGTCTAGCAGGTGGATTTGAGTCTCAATCTGGGATAGAGATAAGGATTTAGGTGTCTTTATGCTAGAAATGGCAGTTAAAACCCTGAAGAGTGGGAAGAGGGCTCAGCATGGGAAAGGCTAACATTTAAGGATCAGAAACAGGTGCATAAAGGAAACAAGGAAGGTGTCAGAGAGATATTTAGGAGTAACAAGAGAACAAAAGACAAGAGTGTTTAGAGACTGAGTGAGGGGATGGAGACGGTCAGTGGAAAGATGGAAAATCCAGGACTGATCAGGGACTGGCAGTGTAGGAGGAGGAGGGGAGATGAAATTCATTTCAAATATAATCTAATGTAAACTACTTGTGTGTTAAACAAATGATGACCTAAAACTTAGTTTCAGGCTGTTGTTTTAAGTAGGCTCAAATAAGTAAGTTGATTTCCTATATTTGTAAAAGCAATAATTTTTATTTAATCAAACACACATTTATTGAGCACTTATTTTGTACTAGGTTGACACCTCAAGGGACAAACTATGAGGGATACAAAAATGATCAAAAAATGAAGTAGCAATATTTAAGCTAAGCCCTGGAAAATGGGGAGGGATGGAAGTACATGTAAGTCAAGAATAGGCAAGAGTTAGAGCAAAAATACAGTGCATGAAACCCCAGGACCCTGTCAGTCTTGAATTATCGTTCTTGACTATGTCTGTCTCCACCACTAGACCCTCTAATGCTGAGGACTGTGATTTATAGAGCCTCAGATGGTGTTTTGCATGTCGTATTTACTCAGTTAATGTTTGCTATACGAATGAAACTTGAGAAACAGAAACATCATAATTGTTACTTATTCCATAGTCTTGCCTGTGCTGGCCTCAGTAATAAAGCAAAAACTAACTTAAAGACTAACATTCCTATGTTCATCAGTAAAACAGATAATAGGTAAATTACCTTCTTGATTTGACTTTTGAGAATGACATGTTAGAACTTATAAATGAATCAAATACATGTAATTTATAATGTTACTATATGATATGAAAACAATTTGAGATAGAAGCCACAAATATGAAATTCCTTAAGACTTTGATCAAAACAACACAATTTCTTGAGATTTCCTTTTTTATTAAAAAATTTTTATTTTTCAACAACAGCTAACCAAAGATGGGATCTTCTTTACATGACAATGTCGAAGTCAATTTATACACAATTTATTTGTTAGCATGTTAGTGATTATATTTGTTTTATATTTTGAAGTGAACTATGGCCTTCTTTTAGGACTGAACAATAACTTCTTGGTGTACAGATGCTTTAGATTAACCAAGGGTACTTGTTAACAAAAGCTATTATTTTATAGCTACATCTCAATGTTTGAGTTGATAAATTTGGGAATTAAATTTACAATACAAATTTCATTAGTGGAATTACATAGCCAGTTTGGAGAGGTTCTATTTATTGTGCTACCTTGATTAGAATGAACGATTTAGAAATATGAAGAGTTGACTGGGCATGGTGGCTCACACCTGTGATCCTAGCACTTTGGGAGGCCGAGGTGGGCAGATTGCTTGAGCTCAGGAGTTTGAGACCAGCCTGGGCAACATGGCAAAATCTCATCTCTACTAAAGAAAAAAAAAACAAAACAAAACCAAACATTAGCAGGGCTTGGTGACTCGCCTCTGTAGTCCCAGCTAGTTGGTGGGCTGAGGCAGGAGAATCGCTTGAGTCCAGGAGGTTGAGGCTGCAGTGAGCCATGTTTGTGCCACTGCACTCTAGCCTGGGTGACAAAGTGAGACTCAAAAAAAAAAAAAAAAAAAAAAGAAGAAGAAATATGAAGAGTTAGATAAATGATATGGTAATAGCCCACATGTTTTCTTGTTGATTGTGGAAAAGGAAATAATTAGCAGTATCTATTATAACAGCATAGGATGTATTGATTTAAGGATTATAGGAGAAAATAATTCAAGGAATTGGAAAGGTGAAGCATGTCGTTCCCTGAAGATTTTCCATCCTTAATTATTTATAAGTATTTGAGTTATGTGTAACTTCACTTTCTCCATTAATTTTTGATAATGATATCCAAAACAAATCTGAAGTTATTTGTTAGTTTGACCTGTGTTATCCTTGCTTCATAAATTCCTGAATTATCTAGTTTAATCTAGTGCTTATTTCACAAATGATGGAAGTCAGATTAAGCAGTTTGTTTAAATGACCTGCAATGAATTATAAAGATAGGTCACCTTTTTATGCTAACGGGTTGGCAAGAAAAATTCCTGAAATTTTACGGGCTTCATGCTGCAGTTGTCTACAAATACACTTCCATAAATGAAAATAAACAGGTTTGTTCATTGTATCATTATAAATGTAATTTAAAAATTAATTTTCTAAATTGTTTTATGCAAGTAAACAAGCAAGCAAAATAAATAAAAACTCTTATATTTTCTTGTCTTTTTTTTCCCCTGCCCAATAGGACCAGACATATTATCAATCATTTCAGGTTTCAGAATATGGTAAGAGTTCCTCAACCTACTTTGGAAGAAAAAAGCATTTGTTACTTTCAGCAGAGATTAGAGAAATTTTTAAGAGATGTGTTATTTGAAGTAAAAATATCAATGGAGTTAAAATTCTGTTTTTTTTTTTACAGGCCTAAACATATTTTTTTTTCCTTTGTAAAATTTCTAAAATCTCATTATACAGAAAAAAGTAGAAAAAAATCGCTTATAGTTGTATTATGCTAGTCTTTTTCTTATCCACAACATAATTTTTCTATTTTTCTACTTTGTCATGATCATAAAATATTTAAAATGTTGCACTTAAAAATACTTAACAAATTCTCTTCCATATTTTTCATTTGATTGGCATTGGTAAAGATGGTCTGTTTCTCAGGTAAATCCTTTTCTTGCAGGTGCCATACTTACAATATCAGTTAGAAACCCATAGATAAAAACAGTGGGACCCATCTATTTTGTTGGTGAATGGAGAGGAATGAGAGATGAGAGTGAAAGCATAGGATCTTAGTATTAGTTATAATTTGAGTAGTTATTTTGAGGTTACACATGGAGTTCTTCATTTGATTTGAGCTTCTTTTTGAGATTGGGTTTTATTTAGGCAGTAGAAATTATAATATACAGGTAGTAATATCTCAGGCTCTGTGGGCCATGTGTGTCTGTCGTTACTACTCAACTTTGCCTTGGTAGCATGAGAGCAGCCAAAGATAATATGTACATGATTGTTGCTGTGCTGCAATAAACTTCATTTTATGGGCATGAAAATTTGAATTTCATATAATTTTCATATGTCATGAAATATTTTTCTTTTGATTTTTTCCAACCAGTTAAAAATTGTAAAAAATGTTCTTGGTTCATGCTGGTCATAGTTTGCTGAAGTCTGATCTGTAACTGTGCTCTCCAGTAGCGGGGCCACTTGCCATGTGTGGCTCTTGAGCGCTTCAAATGTGGCTAGTCCAAATGGAGACACCAGATGTCAAAGACTTAGTACAAGAAAAATGAAAGCAAGAAAAATAGTTCATTAATAACCATTTTTAAATTTTGGTTATTTGTTGAAATGATAATCTTTTAGATATATGGGGTTAAGTAAAATATAAAAATTAATTTCACCTGCTTATTTTTGCTTTTAAAATTTGGCTACTAGAAATGAAAAATTACACATATGGCTCCCATTTTATGTCTTTTAGACAGCCCTGATCTAGAAGAATAAATCATAGGGGACCAACATTTTTATAGGCTATCTTTATATCCCATTGTGGTGGTATACTGGGTGGTTGTATGTTGTTGCATGAGGTATAGTGGAGGTGGGGAATTGATTGCAAACCTGTGATGTTTGAGGAAGAGGCATTTGGAATTCCTTGGTGGTGGGGGTTGGGAGAGTCATAGTTGACTCATGTGACTTTTTTGGTCTCCCTGTCCTAGACTGGTCTAGAGTCTAGGAGTGTCTTGGTACATTCAGGGCCATTAGCCTTGATTGGAGCTGAAGGTCTGCCCTATATTGTTGACCCTTTGGTTTTTTTGATACTTCTCTTATGTTAATTGAATGGTGAGGTGCCTTGTTATGATCCACCTGCCTCAGCCTCCCAGAGTGCTAGGATTATAGGCATGAGCCACTGCTCCCGGCCTCATACCTTCATTATATGAGTTGCTTCTTTCGTCAGAGAACTATAGAAAAAAAGTTTTACAGACTGGAAAGAAACACACATTTTTTACTCTGGTGGAGTGCTTTATATCAATTATAGTATTAGTACTTATAAAATGGTTTATACCTTAATTATTATTATTATTTTTTGAGACGAAGTCTTACTGTGTCACTCAGGCTGGAGTGCAGTGGCATGATCTCAGCTTACTGCAACCACTGCCTCCTGGGTTCAAGCAATTCTCCTGCCTCAGCCTCCTGAGTAGCTGGGATTACCGGTGCGCACCACCATGCCCAGCAATTTTTGTATTTTTAGTAGAGACGGGATTTCACCTTGTTGGCCAGGCTGGTCTCAAACTCCTGACCTCAGGTGATCCACCTGCCTCAGCCTCCCAGAGTGCTAGGATTATAGGCATGAGCCACTGCTCCCGGCCTCATACCTTAATTATATAAGGCTGACCAAACTAGGGATTTCTAGTTTTGGGTGAAACAAAGGGCTTTTCATCTGTCTTAATATGTATTTGGATTCTAATGAATTTAAGTTCAAATAGTACAAATTATCAACTCCTTCAGAACAATTTTATTTTTCATTTTGTTCAGTGGAAGATGATAGTGAAAAGATTTACCCTTGCTTTTCTTTTCCAGTATTACCAAAATTTGAAGTGACATTGCAGACACCATTATACTGTTCTATGAATTCTAAGCATTTAAACGGTACCATCGTAGCAAAGTAAGTGTCATTTTTCTTTTGATATGACTTGAAACCATTATAAGACTGTTTGACCAAAAGCTGATTATATACTTCAGAATATTAGGGCAATTTTTGCTTATTAAAATACCTTAGTGGACAGTAAATGACTATTTCTAATAAATAATGAAGCATAGGACAGATCTCTACATTTCTCTGCATCCATCGCTCTGCTTGCAAGCTGACCCAGTCCTAAAATATTTCCAATAGACTAGTGTCTTTCTTAGACTTATTAAGGGATTTATATTATAGATAGCCCTTTTTTTTTCAGATGACATGGAATTGAGGTAACTTATCTTTACTTAAATTCTATTTTTTTCCACTGATAATGGAGATAGAGCTCTTGGGGGAGAGAATAGGTTGCCTTATTACAATTAACAGATGAGTAAATAATCCACATTTATCCATTACATCACATCGTATGAACACAGAGACTTCCAACCCACCTAACACAACAGATCTATGGTGGCTGTCATGCTTTTCACTCACTGTGTTGAACAATGCAAGGCATTTTGTTTTGCTGAGGCAAAAAGCGTCATCAGAGTTCCAGACTAGTGGTTCTCTGAAGTGCAGGCTGGGATTGCCCTCAAGTAATTCAAGGACTCTTCTCTTGTAGCTTGAGAGTGAAGTTCAGATTCTTTAGTTTATTTTGCAGGGCTCTTTTCTGGATTCATGTCTTTTGAAACATTCCACCTTTCTCTACTCCAGCCCATTCTCTACTGTCCCAAACTCTATTCTCACATTTTACTTTAGCTTCTAAAAATGTAAAATGCTTTTTTCTAATAGACCATTACATAGGTAATTTCAAGGCTTACTACTTGCCCCCAACCCTCCTTATAGCCTTCATAACACTAGTCACACAGTGCTGCTGTTTGCTCGTCCACCTTTCTGAACGTGGCTCTGTGTCTTATGTACTATAGCACCTTGGTGCCTACTACAGTGCCAACCGTGGAGTAGGTATCCAATATATACCTAGTAAAAGAACAAATAGGCCAGGCACAGTGGCTCACACCTGTAATGCCAGCACTTTGGGAGGCTGAGGAGGGTGGATCACTTGAGACCAGGAGTTTGAGGCCAGCCTGGCCAACATGGCAAAACTCCATCTCTACTAAAAATACAAAAATTAGCTGGGTGTGGTGGCACACTCCCAGCTACTCGGGAGGGTGAGACATGAGAATTGCTTGAACCTGGGAGGCGGAGGTTGCAGTGAGCCAAGATTGTACCATTGCACTTCAGCCTGGGTGATAGAGGGAGACTGTCTCAAAAAAAAAAAAAAAAAAAAAAAAAAAGGAAAGAACAAATAGATAAGCAACATGACCCTTAAGATTTCAGCTCTAAGCTATATGTAGCACAGCAAAGGTCTTCATACCAAATCAAAAGCCAGATATTTGGAGTTCTGTGGATATAGGAAAAAAGAAATTCAGTTTCTCCTATATCCACATTCAACAATTAACACAGAAGACTTCTGTGACTTCTGGTCAGGAAGAAGTGGGTGAGGATTTCTCCCCACCAAAACCCAATCAATCAGTTCTGCAGGGGACACCAGGGGGTCTCCTCTAGTTCAATTCAAGCCTGACACTATCTACTGGGAGACAGCATCAGATCATAGATGACAATTTGCTCCAAGACTGCCCCTACTCCAGATGCCACTCACAAGTAATAGATTGTCACGTATGCTTCTGACTGATTGGCTGTAAATCGGAGTTACCACTACCTTCTCTTTGGGTTTGACTAATTTGCTGGAGCTGCTCACAGGACTCAGGAAGACACTTTGCTGGCTTATTGCAAAGGATGTTACAATAGATAGAGATGAAGAACTGGAAGAGATGCGTTGGGCGAGGCATGTGGGAAGCAACACAGAGCTTCCATGCCCTTTCTGAGCACGCTGACCTCCAGGAACCTCCATGCTTTCAGGTCTCTGGAAGTTCTCCAGAGCCTGTCCTTTTGGGTTTTATGTTTTCTTTTTCTTTTTCTTTTTTTTTTTCATTTACCACTGATCAGAAGGGAAGGTATTATTTTATAATCTTTTTGTCCTTTTTTGTGCTATGGCTGCTTTCAGAGAAAAAATTCCTTGTTTTGTTAATGATACTATCCTAGAATATTTTTATTTTTTATTTTATTTTAGTTTTTAAGTGATGAAGTCTCACTCTCTCACAGGCTGGAGTGCAGTGTGCAGTGGTGCAGTCATAGCTCACTGCATCCCCGAACACCTGGCTCAAGCGCTCTTCCCACCTCAGCCTCCCGAGTCGCTAGGACTACAGGTGCGAGCCACCATACCTGGCTCATTTTTTTTTTTCCTTTATAGAGATGGGGTCTTGCCATTTTCTCCAGGCTGGTCTTGAACTCCTGGCTTCACACGATACTATTGCCTTGGTCTCCTAAAGTGCTGGGACTACCGGCATGTTCCACCACTCCTGGACTGATTTGCTTTTTAAAAATTAGTCAAGCTTTTATTTTCTGAGTGATTAACTTATCCCAAATGCTTCCAGGTTCTATTTGGGACAATAATTGTATCTTTGTTTCACAATTATTATAGCCAGCTTTGTGTTTGGAAAACTAAATCTGTTTCACATTAAAGTCAAAATTAAAATTTTTGTGTCTGAGAGTACTTTAAATTATATTTGGTTTTTAAAGATCCTTTTACTATCATGTGATATAACTCTGTTAAAATACAATATCCTGGAATTCTAGTTTTGCTTTTATTTAATCTTTAGCACGATACAAGTAGAGTCAGGTTTTGAAGACTCTTGAATGAGTGAATTTGATGCTAAGATTGCTAACCAGGGTTTCCACTGACTTTACTGTTTTTATTTGGAAGTGTGGGGCATTGGAACGTGGATTTTTTTTTTCTTCTTAGTTTGGAATATGCTATATTTTAAGATTTGCTTTTGAGTTGAGTTGATCCAGATGAGGGGCTGTTTCTGTGTTCAGTTAATGGACTCAGGAAGCAGCCATTTACTGCTATGATTTATAGACTGCAAAGCAAAATTGACTTCCATGTCTGGCTCAGCATTTCACAATAGAGATAGAAGCAACCCAGGAAATGTACTTAAAAAAGGCTTTCTGGCAGTAAAATGTATTGCCTCTTCTTCACATGAAAAGACTTTCCTATAATGAGAGAGGATAAAATTAATACGTAGAAAGAAAAGTAGCAGAGAATGATATTTGACTCACGAAGCTAAGTTTGGACTGGGCTAGGTGGCTCGTTCCTATAATCCCAGCACTTTGGGAGGCCAACATGGGTGGATCACTTGAGATTAGGAGTTCGAGGACAGCCTGGCAAATATGGTGAAACTCCATTTCTACTGAAAATACAAAAATTAGCTGGGTGTAGTGGCAGATGCCTGTAATCCCAAGTGCTTGGGAGGCTGAGGCAGGAGAATCGATTGAACCCGGGAGGCAGAGGTTGCAGTGAGCTGAGATCATGCCATTGCACTCCAGCCTGGGTGACAGACTGAGACTCTGTCTCAAAAAATAAAATAAAATAAAATTCGCTGGACGTGGTGGTGTGCGCTTGTCATCCCAGCTACTCAGGAGGCTGAGGCAGGAGAATCTCTTCAATCCTGGAGGTGGAGGTTGCAGTAAGCCGAGATCATGCCACTGCACCCCAGCCTGGGTGACAGGGTGGGAGTGTGTCACAAACAAACAAACAAACAAACAAACAAACGAAAAAACAAAATAAAACAAAAACAAAAACCAGAAACTAAGTTTGGTATTATGGATTTTAAAAATTATTCTTATTTTAAATTTTTCTGCAAAAAATCAATTTTTGACAGCCATGAGCACATTTGGTGCTCCAGAATCTACGGTCTAATAAACCTTCCTGGCTGATACCGGAACATGCAGTAATAGACCATGGTGATTGCACTATCAGCTGACATTCAGAAATCTTTTAAAGCTGTGAAGTTTCGTGGGCAAGCAGTTAATGGGCCACTCCAGATTTCTAGGAGTGAAAGATTTATGTAATCTTTAAAAAATCTTTGGGCAGGAAACTGTCACTCCCAATTATGATCAGGTGTTTTCTGGAGTCTTTCAGATGGTCAGAGGTTGGGCAGAGTGTGTTTTAAGAACTGTTTTAAGGTACTATAGTTAAAAGTCTTCCCATTTTGGAAGCTTAATTTCAAGGATCACCTTTTATTATTTGTTTAGTTTTTGAGATGGAGTCTCACTCTGTTGCCCAGGCTGGAGTGCAGTGGCACGATCTTGGTTGTGGCCTCCGCCTCTTGGGTTCGAACAATTCTCTGCCTCAACCTCCCGAATAGCTGGGATTATAGGCACCCACCACCATGCCCGGCTAATTTTTTTGTGTTTTTAGTAGAAATGGGGTTTCACCATCTTGGCCAGGCTGGTCTTGAACTCCTGACCTCGTGATCCACCTGCCTCAGCCTCCCAAAGTGCTGGGATTACAGGTATGAGCCACTGTGCCCATCCAGGATCACCATTTATTAAATACATTTTTTGTTGGTTTTAGTTTAAAAAATTACAGTAGTAGTATGTTTTTAATGTAATTTTTTTTCTTTTTAAAATTTTCTTTTTTTAGTGTTTTGCCATCCCATAATGTATTATTTATTTATTTATTTATTTCTTTATTTTGAGACAGAGTCTCGTTGTGCCGCCCAGGCTGGAGTGCAGTAATACAATCTCAGCTCACTGCAACCTCCACCTCCTGGGTTCAAGCAGTTCTGCCTAGCCTCCAAAGTAGCTGAGACTACAGGTGCCTGCCATCATGCTCAGCTAATTTTTGTATTTTTAGTAGAGACGGGGTTTCACTATGTTGGCCAGGCTGGTCTTGAACTCCTGACCTCGTGATCTGCCCGCCTCGGCCTCCCAAAGTGCTGGGATTACTGGCATGAGCCACCAGGCCCAACCCAGTGTAATTTTTAAAAAAATGTTGGATTGCTAATGTATGCTATTGAAAGTAGTATTTGTATTGTGTTCTGACAATATCAAGTTGATACATAAAAAGACTATGTTTATAATTATTCAGGTATACATATGGGAAGCCAGTGAAAGGAGACGTAACACTTACATTTTTACCTTTATCCTTTTGGGGAAAGAAGAAAAATATTACAAAAACATTTAAGGTAACTTTTGCAGACGTTTTATAACTTGTGATGGGTAAAATATGTGTATTTTTTCTAGAAATAAGATTTAGTATTGACTTAACAAAAAGTTAAGTGTAAGAAAATCAAGAGCTTTCTAGCACTGAACAAGTGAAAATTTACGCAATTATAGTGATTAAAATGGTACTAGAGCTAACATATTTTGTGACTTAGTTTGAGTTTTATTTCTAAAATTTGAATTGCTAAAATGATAATACTGAACTTTTAAACAAAACAGATAAATGGATCTGTAAACTTCTCTTTTAATGATGAAGAGATGAAAAATATAATGGATTCTTCAAATGGACTTTCTGAACACCTGGATCTAGCTGCCCCTGGACCGGTAGAAATTTTAGCCACAGTGACAGAATCACTTACAGGTTTGTAGACTTTAAAGTGAAGGTAAAACGATTTATGTGACACTGCTTTATCATCTTTCTTATTATAACTGGCATTTTCATTTGGGAGCATCACTGGCTTTCTAAAGATGCTATTTAATGTTGAGATTGTTATGACTGTTAGTCTAAATTGCAGGATGATTTTGTAATGGGGGACCTTATTTTCTATGGAAGTCACTACTTCAACCACATGTGATAGCTCTTTGTAATTTTTTTTTTTTTTCCCCATTTCTACTCTTTCCCCCTGAAAACTACATGGAAAGGCTTACATTTTCAGCTGGTTACCTTCTTTTTAAACTCGCTGAAATCTCAGCTGCTTCTACACAGTTTTCACTTTTAATATGCAAATAAAGTTTAGTTTCTTGGACCTTTCTGTTACTATTTCAACAGCGTTAGCCAATCCCCGAAAGAGCAAAAGACTATTCTTTCATTGGCCTTAATTTGCTGCTGTTGTACATGTCACTGTGGTAGAATGGCGGCAATGGTGCTTAGAAGGATCCATAGAGAACATAATAGAACTGTGTGGTGCTTGTAGTGTCAAAGCCAATACGGGAATGAGGCTTATGTGCTCTGATATTTTAAACCTGTTTGGCAATAGGTTAGATGGAGAGATTTGGTGGATAGAAGCTTTTGGTGAAACATTACTTCTGTTTTCTAAATTGTGCAATTTCTGAAAAAGGTATTGCAAGAAATGCAAGCACTAATGTGTTCTTCAAGCAACATGATTACATCATTGAATTTTTTGATTATACTACAGTCTTGAAGCCATCTCTCAACTTCACAGCCACTGTAAGTTGGTATATTTATTTCCAGTCCATAGCAGTAAGTTCAGCTTAATGAAATAGAATGGGAAATAATATTTTCAATGCTTTTCCAAAAATTTAAGCCAAACAGTATATAACTTTGTCTCTTTAGATATGGGGGGCATGTAGATTTGTTTCCAAATGACCTTTGTCTATTTTTTCTAAAAAAGTAGTTTTCAACAATAAAAATATTTTTTTGAAAATGTATTTTTTTATAAGCAATTTAAGTTAGATGTGGATTGCTACACTGAAGCTTTTATTAATTAATTGAAATAATTAGATGGTAGTCAAAAATTGCAATTTCGGTTTGGTTTTTATAATGATTAATTATAGTTCTAGCAAAGATGTTACATTAAAAATTATCAACAAATTTCATTTTTTTGAGATGATGTTGAATTAACACATTAATTGTGTGAATTTTGACAACGAGCAAGGCATGGTGTTGGGCAGGGCTATGGAGCTAAGAAGGGCTCAATCTCTACCCTCAGGTTCACAGTTTTTGTGATGGTGACAGGAAAATATATACATAACTGTAACTCATGGCAGATTAAGATTAGTGTTACAAATTACTTTCTGTAGGGATTTAAAGCAGGGGTTGGAAAACTTTTTCTGCAAAGGGCTAGATAGTAAATATTTTCAGCTTTGTGGCCATGCAGTCTTTGTCACAGCTACTCAGCTCTGCCATTGTATCGTGAAAGCAGCCAGAGCGAATTTATAAATACGTGAGAGTGGACTGTGTTTCAGTAAAACTTTATTTACAAACATGCTGGATTGGACTATCAGCTTGCAGTAGTTGGCTGACCTCTGATTTAAAGAAAGGAGGAGTCAGGCTGGATGTGGTGGCTCACTCCTGTAATCCCAGCACTTTGGGAGGCCGAGGCAGGTGGATCACCTGAGGTCAGGTGTTCAAGACCAGCCTGACCAACATGGAGAAACCCCGTCTCTACTAAAAATATAAAAAATTAGCCAGGCATGGTGGCACATGACTGTAATCCCAGCTACTGGGGAGTCTGAGGCAGGAGAATTGCCTGAAACCGGGGAGGCGGAGGTTGTGGTGAGCGGAGATCATGCCATTGCACTCCAGCCTGGGCAACAAGAACAAAACTCCGTCTCAAAAAACAAAACAAAACCAACCAAACAAAAAACACCAAAAAAGAAAGAAAGAAAGAAGAAAGGAGAGGTCACTTGTTGAATGGGTCAATTATTGTTTCAAGTAGTTTCTAATTGCCGTGATCTTAATTTAGTTTGAAAAGGTAAGTTAAAAAAAAATTGAAGCTGCAAATGGTAATTTCTGAATGAGTAGAGTGAAACCATGGGTGTTCAGGGAGGGAGAGTTGGCTGTGGGATAGGCATGGAGGTTATTATGGGATGCTTTATGGAAGAGGACGGTCTAAACCGTTTTTTAAAAGATTAGTTGGATTTTAAATGCTTGGGCATGGGAGTGGGAGGTGGGGAGCAAGATAAGAAGTGAGACAGGAAGGCGAGCTCTGCTGGCAAGTTCAGGGTGCACTCAGAATTTGAGGGAGACTGCTCAGGCTGTGTGCAGGAGGAAGGCAGTAGCCCAGGAGTAAGGGGATGGGCAGCCTTGTGGTGGTAGCTGTGGGAGTAGAGAGGATGGAAGAGAGAAGCTTAGGACTTTGGTGTTCATTGGATTTGGGGGACGGAGGGGGGAGAGGGAGGGAAAATTCAGAAATGTAAAGTCTTGCAGAATTGTGATGTTAGCAAAAATAGGAAAATGACATGGTTGCTCATTTTAGATGTGTGAATTTGAGGTGTCTAGGATATCCAAGTAGAAATTTCCTGCAGGTAATTGGAGGTGTTGGGCATGAGCTCCAGAGCAAGGCGAGGATGGGAATTTTGGCTTCAGGGTGCAATGACAGAGATGACAAGCTAAGCCATAGGAGTGCTGAGACCTTGGAGGAAGAGAAAAGAACAGATGTCCAAAATTCCCACATTTAGGGAGAGGGAAGAGGAACTGAAAAGGACACTGAGAGGATGCAGAAAGAGAGGTAGGAAGTGAAGGGGGTTGTTTTAGAGCCATGGAAGGTAAGGGAATCCATAAGATAAACAAGGGAGTATTCAGTGATGCTGGATGCCTCCTAGAGAGAGGCCACCGAATCTGGATATTATAGTGCTATCAATAATTTTTGAGAGTTCAATTTCATGAGAATACTACAGACGGGAACTGTATTTAATTGTATTTAAATCCTTTGGGTTTTAAAGATGTTTTGTTTTGACCATTAGGTGAAGGTAACCCGTGCTGATGGCAACCAGCTGACTCTTGAAGAAAGAAGAAATAATGTGGTCATAGCAGTGACACAGGGAAACTATACTGAGTACTGGAGCGGATCTAACAGTGGAAATCAGAAAATGGAAACTGTTCAGAAAATAAATTATACTGTCCCCCAAAATGGAACTTTTAAGATTGAATTCCCAATCCTGGAGGATTCCAGTGAGCTACAGTTGAAGGTGCCATCTGTTTCCCATCATTGTATCACTGCAACAACACCATTACAGTTGTAATATTGTGGTAGGCACTCAACCTGTCAGACCTGAAAGTACATAGGAAGTGGACACATGTTTCTATTTTATAAAATGGAGGAGAGTGGTAAAAGTAATTTAATGACAGTGACTGAAGGTTAGACTAAATTTTTCCTTGTAAGTTCATTTTGAAGAGCACAGCAAAATACAGCAATGTGAAGATATGATGAAGTTCCTCAAACCCCTAGTCTAGGGTTTGAGGTCAGTCATTTGAAATTTTATTTTGGCAGAAACTGAAAGAACTGAAAGGAATATATATACACATACACACACACACACACACACACACACACACACACACATATATATATATACACCTTTCCTGTGTTTTAAAGCTATCAGTTTCTTTACAGTATAAGCTATAAAATGATGAAAATCCAATGTCTGGTGAATGTATTTTTCTTGCATTAAAAAAAAGTGAAAATAAATTTGGTTTTTAATAACTGTTCAGCAGGTAGCATGTTTTCTCAAGGTGTTATTAAAAATGAACATTTATAGCTCCTTTTCTTTTGTTACAGGCCTATTTTCTTGGTAGTAAAAGTAGCATAGCAGTTCATAGTATGTTTAAGTCTCCTAGTAAGACATACATCCAACTAAAAACAAGAGATGAAAATATAAAGGTAATGCTTACAACTCACTTGATAATTGTAATATAATTGGACTATCTTGCTTTCGATATATACATATTAATTAAGTTTTTTTTCTAGGTGGGATCGCCTTTTGAGTTGGTGGTTAGTGGCAACAAACAATTGAAGGAGTTAAGCTATATGGTAATCTCTTATAGAATCTAAATTAATGATCTATTATAGAATCATCTTTTTATTCACATTTAAGTTCAGGGGTACATGTGCAGATTTGTTATATAACTAAACTCATGTCATGGGGGTTTGTTGTACAGATTATTTCATCACCCAGGTATTAAGCCTAGTACCCATTAGTTATTTTTCCTGATCCTCTCCCTCCTCCTACCCTCCACCCTCCCATAGGCCCCAGTGTCTGTTGTTCCCCTCTGTGTGTCCATGTGTTCTCATCATTTAGCTCATACTTATAAGTGAGAACATGTGGTATTTGGTTTTCTGTTCCTGCGTTAGTTTGCTAAGGATAATGGCCTCCAGCTCCATCCATGTTCCTGCAAAGGACATGATTTTATTCTTTTTTATAGCTGCATAGTATTCCGTACTATATATGTACCACATTTTCTTTATTCAGTCCACCTTTGATGGGTATTTAGGTTGAGAATGATCTTAAATGGTATCTACCTTATATCTACATTAAACTTACTAATTTTTATAACTCAGCCTCATACCTTTTTAGCCTGTCCTTTCTACATTGAAATCAAATAAAAAACCTTTTTCATTTCTTCACCTATATTTGCATTTCCAATTTAAAATAGATAACTAAATCTTGTTTTATGTTTAAGATTTAAAATTCTATTTGATAAGCAATATATATTCATTATAGAAAATTATACAATGTAAGAAAAACAAAAAAGAAAATAAAAAGTGCTATCCATGACCATGTAATTTTGCTAATTCAACTTTCCCAATGGTGCCCTGTATTCCTTCCAATCAAAAATAGATTCTTGACTATGAAGCTACTGTTGCTCCAATCAGTATTACTTTAATCTTACCATTTTCTGTTTCTCGGTGTATGCTCTCTGTGTTTGTCAGAGAGGTTTTCCTGCATTCAAAAAGACTTTGAAGCTGGTTTAAGTCAATAATTTGTGTGTATGCATACAATTATGATTAATTTAGTTTCAGTTGAGATCCTACTAGGTTTGGCAATAAATTAAACCCATCTACTATTCTTTTCAGGTAGTATCCAGGGGACAGTTGGTGGCTGTAGGAAAACAAAATTCAACAATCTTCTCTTTAACACCAGAAAATTCTTGGACTCCAAAAGCCTGTGTAATAGTGTATTATATTGAAGATGATGGGGAAATTATAAATGATGTTCTAAAAATTCCTGTTCAGCTTGTTTTTAAAAATAAGGTAAGATTTAAGGTAATGATGTTTAAAAGAAAACTATATTAGTGAAGTCTGAGAAATGTAATTTTTTTTTAGAAAAGTATCATTAAACCAAATTGGTTAGAAATTTACATTATTCTATTTCTAGAACTATGGTTAAACTTTTTAATATTTAGCACTACATATGTATTTTCACTTGTGGAGTTATTGGGGATTGATAGTCTATTTGTAAACTATGGTTCTGGTCTTTTAAGACTTTAACTCAGATCATGAAACCGTTTCAGAATTTTTCAAATGGTTGAATTAATATTGTTCAGGAACAAAATTCCAGTGGTAACATGGAATTCGTGTGGTGTTGATATTGCAGTGATGATATAAAGGGTGTGGGAGGGAGTAAGGCCATCTAGGATAATATGTGGAAGCAGAGCTGGGCTTTCATTCATCTATTTAATTAGCTGGAAACTAGCCCAGGGCAACTTTTCAATGAGCTTGATTACCTTGCATGTGAGGATCCGTGTGGAGTCTAGTCTCCAAGTGCACCAGTGTCTTTTTTAGCCCAATGTGACCAGCTTGAGTAGGAAATCCCTTTGGAACCCAGCTCTGAAAAGAAACTTGATTGCATCATCTTATGTATATCAGAATGAGCCATTGCTCTCACTAACAACTGCTGCCTTCTTGGTCCTCTTATGTAAAAAATTATTGCTTTAAATAGTGATTTGCAGAGTATGGTTCTTCTATTTCTTTTTTCTTTATTTGTTAAAATATTTGAGAAGTAACAGTACTGATCTGTACCTTCTTTTTTAAAAATTTGTGTTTATTTATTTTTTGAGACTATGTTATGAGATTGGCTAATTTTTGTGTTTTTGGTAGAGACAGGGTTTTGCTGTGTTGCCCAGGTTGGTCTCTAACTCCTGGGCCCAGGTAATCCACCTGCCTCAGCCTCTCAAGTTGCTGGGATTACAGACATGAGCCACTGCGCCAGGCCTGTACTTTACTTTTGTTGAGAATTATTACTCTCACTTTGATTGTTAAAACATAATACAAACTTCTGTTTTTTTTAGCTTGTGAAAAGAGTTCTTGCAAAGATAACACTATGTTTTGTTAGTGTTAGAGCACAATTTTTGACTTCTAGTTATCCTAGTAATTGCCTGACAAAGGTGAATTTTAAAGTAGAAGTTATGGAGGCTTAAACATTTCAGAAAGCAAGACCAGGTTCTAACGCTAGTTACAGTGTAAAAGATCATGGACTTTGAGGAAGCAGAGTAGGTTAATAGCATACTTTCAAGCAATTTCTTAACTATAAGAGATTGGAAATTAGTTTCAGTTCCATTTGCAATGATATATCTTCCTCTTATTTTTATGTGATAATCATCACATTTATAAAGAAACAACATAATTAGAAATGGAGTATGTCTAAGCAAGAGAAAGTTAGTGAATGTTTATTAATGTTCAGTAATGACTATGGAATAAGTGAATGAGCTGTAGGAGGAGCAAGAGATGTAGGTTTAGAAATCATCCACACAGAAGTGCAAGTTGAAGCCATGGGGCTCTGAAGTACAGAGTGAGAAGCACAAGGTCTAAGACTAAGCCTTGAACATGCTGCCCCCTCTCCCCCACCTGTTAGTGTGTAGGTGGAGAAAGTAACCTACATACAGTGGTTTGAGAGGCATGTCAGAGAAAAATTGCACTGAACAAATTAAACAGGTAAGGAAGGCTTTATTCAAGACTATTGCAATAGAAGAGAAAGATTAAACTCAACTCTGCTGAAACAAAAGGCAGGAGAGTTTTTAAGCACTGGGGTGAACTCATCTAAAAGTGCTGGAGGACATTGTTGGGAGGTTGGTCAATGTGATTAGGTAGTCTGTGTTTGCTAATTAGTACTTACTGAAGTTAGGCTTCCACCCTCCCACAGAGACTGAGATCAATTGGGACTCTGTCTTTCTTGATGATTATACTTCAAAGGGATGGCCCCGAGGTCCTTGAGAAAGAATGCCTGGGTTGTAAAACTGCCCAGAGGCTGGGAGAAGATTTATATCTCAAAGGGTTGGAGAAAGAATTTATAATTGCATATTTTCTAAAATAAATGCTCTAAGAAAAGGGAGCTCAGGGGCTTATAGTTAGGAAGAGGCCTGTCTTTATGAAGTAGAGTCAACTTAAGGGGAACGTTAAGGCCCTCTTCGTCAGACATTATAATCACTGGCACAGCAGAATGTTGAGATAGAGCTAGATGAAATGAAAATTCCCAGTAGGGGTCAGGTGCGGTGGCTCACACCTGTAATCCCAGCACTTTGGGAGGCCGAGGCAGGCGGATCACCTGAGGTCAGGAGTTGGAGATCAGCCTGACCAACATGGTGAAACCCTGTCTCCACTAAAAAAGATACAGAAATTAGCCAGGCATGGTGGTATGCATCTGTAATCCCAGCTACTTGGGAGGCTGAGGCAGGAGAATCACTTGAACCCAGGAGGCGGAGGTTGCAGTGAGCTGAGATCGTGCTATTGCACTCTAGCCTGGGCAACAAGAGTGAAACTCCATCTCAAAAAAAAAAAAAAAAAAAAAAAAAAAAAAAAATAAAAAAGGAAAATTCCCGGTAGGAAGGGGCCTCATGACAAGGCCATTTGGTTTAGCAGGGATGCAATGACTGATGCTCTTTATAAAGTATTAGATTAGCAGGTCCAGGACCATGCTTTCCTGAGGGTAATGGTGAGGAAGTTTAGAAGGCCATGGAGACACAGAGCATGAGGGCCTGACTAGTATTTGCTCTAACCACCCCCTCCCTTGGAAAGGCCTCCTGTCACCCCCAGTCCAGGGTGGTTCTGTGAGTCCCGGAGGAGCTTTCCTTGCTTTCACACCTAAGTTCACATCACCAACACGTAGGCATCCTCTTTTGTGTTTCTCCTTTGTATAGTGGCCTTCCCCAGGTATGCTAGACACTGCTGTCTTCTACTCAGCACTGGCTGGGATCTGAGGGCTGGGAGATGGACAAAGGGAAGAAAAAAAGATTCAGAATTGAAGAATAATTCAGATTTATACCACTGTGAGAAGTTCTATGACTTGCAAACACTCTGGGAGTAGTTTTTTTATTCCTTTCCCTAGAGAAGGGTTATGTATGGTTTTAGAATTATCCCTGAGCCAAGGCAAATGTAGAATCTTTGCTATATTTTGAGCCATTGATCTGCTATTGGCAAAAATATGCTTTAAAAAAGTGAAATAAGTTAATCCTCCTTTCTCTCTTTTTTAGATAAAGCTATATTGGAGTAAAGTGAAAGCTGAGCCATCTGAGAAAGTCTCGCTTAGGATGTCTGTGACACAGCCCGACTCCATAGTTGGGATTGTAGCTGTTGACAAAAGTGTGAATCTGATGTATGCCTCTAATGATATTACAATGGAAAATGTGAGTTTAGCTATTTTTTCATTATGAAAATTCATATTACAAGAGAAAAAAGAAACTTTATTGTATTACTTTAAATATTTAAAGAAAATTTCATTAGTTCCTTTGCATGTGTAAGTCAATAATTAGCAAAGCTTCCAAATAAAAAATAATCTGTATGGTAATGGTTATGTTGGAAAGAAGCTTATGTGGTTAGTGTCCTTGCTGTCTTTCATGAGAATTATCACCTAAAGTTAGATGGGAGGAATAAGTTCTGGAGACCTATGGTACAACATGGTGACTATAGTTAATGATAATGTACCATATACTTGAAAATTGCTAAGAGAGTAGATTTTAAATGTTCTCACTGCAAAAAATGATCAATATGTGGTATGTAAGGTAATAGATATGTTAATTAGCTTAATCATTCCAAAGTATATACAAATATCAATATGTCACACTGTACTCCATAAATATATACAATAAAAAAATGCCACTTATAGTTTTCCTTCATTTTCATGTTACATTTTAAGACACTCAAGGAAGTACTAGGAAATTGACTTGCATAATTCTGGGTTACATTAGATAAGAGAGCTTTAGATAATTTTTGAAGCGTGTTCTATTTTGGTTATACATAATGGTTATAACTAATTACAGTTCCCATTGGGCCGGGCATGGTGGCTTATGCCTGTAATCCCAGCACTTTGGGAGGCCGAGGCGGGTGGATCACGAGGTCAGGAGATCGAGACCACCCTGGCTAACACAGTGAAACCCCGTCTCTACTAAAAATACAAAAAATTAGCTGGGCGTGTTAGTGGACGCCTGTAGTGCCAGCTGCTTGAGGGGCTGAGACAGGAGAATGGCGTGAACCTGGGAGGCGGAGCTTGCAGTGAGCCAAGTTCGTGTCACTGCACTCCAGCCTGGGCGACAGAGCGAGACTCCGTCTCAAAAAAAAAAAAAAAAAAAAAAAAAAATTGCAGTTCCCATTGAATCAGGAATTTACAGTATATTCATGGGGTGAAATCATGTTACTCTGCAGAAAACTTATAAACCAAGAAGTATATGAACATCTAGCATTGCATAAATGAATCCCATATTCATTAGTCATTTGATTTTTATTTATATGTTCTTGATATATTCTTGTGTACCATTGTCAGTTGTAAACTAGATTGTATAATTTATGTCTATTAATGGATTCAGTAGAGTGATTAACAATACATCAGGAAGAAAGTTATACATAGGTTGATTTGGTCATTATATTGTAAAATTTAATTTACTTGTGAAAAATTGTACATTTTCTTCAGTCTATACAACTATTTTTTTCAATCTTTTCTTTTTTTTTTGAAAACTTGTTTTACAACCAATTGGTCATTTTTTTCTCTTTGACTTTTCCTGAATTCACATTATTTTTATAAGTCTGTAGATCTTGCATTTGATTTAACTGAATATAATAGCATCTGTTATTTTATAGCTTTCTAAATACATTGGTAAATATATAATTACATTTTTTTCTTCTCTACATATGTGTATGTTTGTATGTGTGTATGTGTATGTGCTGTGCTCTATTTACATTTATACATATGCATGTAATATATATATATTTACAAGCATATTTATATATACATATAATATGTGTATATTTACAAGTATATTTATATATACAGATAATATACGTATATTTACATTTTTTTTCCAGATATTAAGATTGCTTTCTCAGCTTTCTTTTGGTTCATATTTTCCTGGTGTATTTTTACATTTCTTATTTTCAACCTTTTGTAAGTTTTTAAGTGTATCTTTTAAATAGCATATTACCATATTGCTTTTGTTTTTCAATCTAATCTAATAGCCAACATCTTTTAATAAGCTTTTATAAGTATGGTAATTCTTTTTCTAATGGGGACTTTTTTCTGCTTTTTTTATATTTTAAAATTTAGATTCTTTTTCCGTGGGCTAGATTAAATTTGTTTTGCTGATTTAGAAGTTATGCATTCTATTTTTGTTACTCTGTTAGTTAAACTGTACCCATATTAATTTCTCCTTGTTGGTTTCTAAAGGTTATCAATATTTGAATCTAGTATGCTCCTATATCCTTTTGGTCTCTACCTCTGTCTTTTCCTTCTCCTCCTACCCTGGCCAGATCATTCTGTTCGTGTACAGATTTTTAGCTCCATGTTATCATAGACTGCCCTTTCAATCTATGCTGTTCTTTCATTTTTTAATTGTGGAAATCTGTGTTGATTATTTCTTCCTCTCCATTTTATTTTTTCTTTCCTTCTGGGACTTTTGTTATTTAGAAATTGACACTTTTACTTCCATCCTGCATATCTCTTAGTTTTTTGTTTTATGTTTTCTAACTCTTTGTCTTTTCTGTGTTTCTCTGGGAGAGTTCCTCAGTTGACTATTCAGCTTAGTGATCATTCATTAGCTGTATTTATCCTACTTTAATCTCTTATATTGTGTCTTTTATGTCAGCTATTGTTTTTAGTATCTATCATTTTCCTTTGTTTCTTGTTTTTGTTTTATATTCTAATATTTCCCATTATCTCCTTGTGTGTATTTGATATGCGTATTTTAAATTATTGAATTGACCTTTTCAGTAATTTTGTGTCACATGCTATATGTTGTCTAGTTGGATGTCTTACTTTTACAGTATTTATACTCTTTGGAAGTTTAGTCGATTTGGCAGATCCTGTGATAATATCTATTTGGGAAGACTGAGCATCAGGTTCCAATCTGTGTAAGTCCTGTGAATCCCTCCTGAGGGGAGAGGACTAGCCTCATGGACTAGAGAATTACTCTTGATCCTTTCTGCAGCCTGCCTCTATTCAGAGTTTCACTCTTAAACCCTTGGGGAGAAGAGCACCAGTAAGAAAAGGTCTCCTGAGGTTATGATTCACCAGCCCTGAGCGTTTGGAGGAGGAGTAGAGGAAGAGTGAATGCTTGAGGGACATAGTTCTGTCTGCTGTTTTCCTCACTTTCCCACACTAGAAGGGCAGAGGTGCTGACCTGGTATTATCTTTTGGATACTTGCACAGGCAGTCTGAGCTGCTACTGCTGTTGATTTTGGCAGCGAAGTTGCCAGGACTGTGTGTCCTGAGCAACCCCCTGGAGGGAAATAAGGGCAAAATTTAAAAACCTCTCCTCCAGCCTGTTTTCTGACTGCTATGTCTGCTGCTGTGTCTGGCTGCCTTCTGCCTTAGACTGAAGCTGTGCAATTTCTCCCAAGACCAATTGAAGATGTCCGCCACTCTTCCTGGGGTTTTCTCATTATGCATGTTGAAGTTTCCTGCTTGCTTTTATTGTTTCTCCAGTTGGTTCTGGAGGAGGGAGTCAGGAGCCTGTCATAGTAGACTGTTTTGGCGTCTTTTTTTTTCTTGTTAAATTTACATGTGTTGTCAATAGCCTCTTGAATGCCTTGGAATAATTTAAGTATATAGATCTTCCAGGAATAATTTTAGATGTTAACCTTCTTGTCGTTAGCCTATGCTGCAGCTTTGACAATGCTTTGTTTATTGAGCCGGTGAGAACAGGAAGATTTCTTTATGAGATAGATGCTGCTTTTTCTTTTTTCTTTTTTTAAAAATAAATTTTATTGTGTATATTTGAGGTTTGCAACATGATGTTATGGAATACATATAGGCAGTATAGTGGTTACTGTAGTGAAGCAAATTTACATATTTATCATTTCACATAGCTACATTTTTGTGACAAAAGAAGTTAAAATTGATTTAATGAAAACTCCAAATATCAGAATTCTATTAACTATATCTCTCATGTGGTAGATTATATAACTGCATTTTTTCATCCCACATATCTGCTATTTTGTATCCTTTGATGGCCATATTCCCATTTTCTTCTTCCTTCCCCCCTTGCCCCTGTAACCATGTTTTGTTTATTCATTTATTTATTTAAACTTTTAAGTTCAGGGGTACATGTGCAGGTTTGTTACATAGGCAAACTTGTGTCATAGGGGCTTGTTGTACAGATTATTTCATCACACAGGTATTAAGCCTAGTACACATTAGTTGTTTTTCCTGATCCTCTCCCTCCTCCCACCCTCCACTGTCTGACAAGCCCTACTGTGTGTTGTTCCTCTCTATGTGTCCATGTGTTCTCATTATTTAACTCCCACTTATAAGTGAGAACATGTGGTATTTGGTTTTCTGTTCCTGCGTTAGTTTGCTAAGGATAATGGCCTCCAGCTCCATCCATATACCTGCAAAGGAGATGATCTTGTTCTTTATGGCTGCCTAGTATTCCGTGGTGTACGTGTACTATCATTGCTGGACATTTAGGTTGATTCCATGTCTTTGCTATTGTGAATAGTGCTGCAATGAACATATGGATGCATACATCTTTATAATAGAATGATTTATATTCCTTTGGATATATACCCAATAATGGGATTGCTGGTATTGAAATGGTGTTTCTGTCTTAAATCTTTGAGGAATTGTCACATTGTCTTGTACAATGGCTGAATTAATTAACACTCCTACCAACAGTGTATAAGTATTCCTTTTCTCTACAACCTCACCAGCATCTGTTATTTTTTTGACTTTTAAATGATAGCCATCCATTCTGATTGGTGTGAGATGGTATCTCATTGTGTGTTTTTATTTTATTTTATTTATTTTTGAAACAAAGTCTCACTCTGTTACTCAGGCTGGAGTGTGGTGGTGTGATCTTGGCTCACTGCAACCTCTGCCTCCCGGGTTTAGGCAATTCTCCTTCCTGCCTCAGCCTCCTGAGTAGCTGGGACTACAGGTGTGCACCACCATGCCTGGCTAATTTTTAAATTTTATTTTAGTAGAGATGGGTTTCACCATATTGGCCTAGCTGGTCTCAAACTCCTGGCTTTGTGATCCGTCTGCTTTGGCCTCCCAAAGTGCTGGGATTACAGACATGAGCCACCACGTACATGGTCTGTTAGCAAAATTTGCTTGACAAAATCTCGGTCTGTTACCCAAGCTGGAGTGCAGTGATATGATCTTGGCTTACTACAACCTTCACCTCCTGGGTTCAAGTGATTCTCCTGCCTCAGTCTCCCAAGTAGCTGGGATTATAGGCGTGAGCAACCACGCCCAGCTGGTTTTGTATTTCAATAGAGACAGGATTTCACCATGTTGGACAGGCTGGGTTCAAACTCCTGACCTCAAGTGATCCTCCTGCTTTGGCCTCCCAAAGTGCTGGGATTACAGGTGTGAGCACTGCACTTGGACTCTTTATGGTTCTGATTTTCATTTCTCTAATGATCAGTGATGTTGAGCTTTTTCTCATATGATTGTAGGCCACATGTATGACTTCTATGACTTCTATTGAAAAGTGTTGGTTCATTTCCTTTGCTCACTTTTTTTTTTTGGAGATGGAGTTTCCCTCTTTTTGCCTAGGCGGGAGTGCAATGGCATGATCTTGACTCACCGCAACCTCCATCTCCGGGTTCAAGCGATTCTCCTGTTCAAGCCATCAGCCTCCCAAGTAGCTGGAATTACAGGCATGTGTCACCATGTCTAGCTAATTTTGTATTTTTTAGTAGAGACGGGGTTTATTCATGTTGGTCAGGCTGGTCTCAAACTCCTGACCTCAGGTGATCCGCCTGCCTTGGCCTCCCAAAGTGCTGGGATTATAGGCATGAGCCACTGTGCCCGGCCCCTTTGCTGGCTTAAAAAAATTTTTTTTTTCTTGTAAATTTGTTTAAGTTTCTTACAGATGCTGGATATTAGACCTTTGTCAGATGCATAGTTTGCAAAACTTTTCTCCCATTTTGTAGGTTGTTTACTGTGTTGATAGTTTCTTTTGCTGTGCAGATCTCTTTCATTTAATTTGATCCCATTTGTCAATTTTTGCGTTTGTTGCAATTGCTTTTGACATCTCTGTCATGAAATCTTTGGCTGTGCCTATGTCCTGAATGGTATTGACTAGGTTGTCTTCCAGGGTTTTTATAGTTTTGGGTTTTACATTTAAGTTTTAATCCATCTTAAGTTAAGTTTTGTATATATGGTGTAAGGAAGGGGTCCAGTTTCAATCTTCTGCATATGGCTAGCTGGCTTCTGCTCCCAGCACCATTTATTGAATAGGGAATCCTTTCCCCATTGCTTGTTTTTGTCAGGTTTGTTGAAGATCACATAGTTGTAGATGTGCAGTCTTATTTCTGGGTTATCTATTCTGTTCCATTGCTCTGTGTGTCTGTTTTTATGTGAGTCATGCTGTTTTGGTTACTATAGCCTTGTAGTACAGTTTGAACTCTGATAGCATGATGCCTCCAGCTTTGCTCTTTTTGCTTAGGATTGTCTTGGCTATACGAGTTCTTTTTTGGTCCCATATGAATTTTAAAATAGTTTTCTCTAGTTCTGTGAAGAACGTAGTAGTTTAATAGGAATAACATTGAAAGATAAATTACTTTGGGCAGTATGGCCATTTTAACAATATTGATTCTTCCTATTCATGAGCATGGGATGTTTTCCCATTGGTTTGTTCATCTCTGATTTCTTTGAGCAGTGGTTTGTAGTTCTCCTTGTAGAGATCTTTTACCTCCCTAGTTAGCTGTATTCTTAAGTATTTTATACTTTTTGTGGCAGTTGTAAATGAGAGTTTATTTCTGATTTGGCTCTCTGCTTGTATGTTGTTGGTGTATAGGAATGATAGTGATTTTCACACATCGAGGCTTTCCTGAAGTTGTTTATCAGTTTAAGAAGCTTTTGGGCTGAGACTATGGGGTTTTCTAGATATAGGATTATGTCATCTGCAAACAGGGATAGTTTGACTTCCTCTCTTCCTATTTGGATGCCCTTTATTTCTTTCTTTTGCCCGATTGTCCTGGCCAGAACTTCTAGTACTATATTGAATAGGAGTGGTGAGAGAGGGCATTCTTGTCTTGTGCTGATAACCGCTGTTTAGATGCTGCTTCTTGAATAGTTCTATGAATTGGTGTCTGAGCAAGAGCAGAAGCAAATCTTCATGTATTTGTATTTTGTGACAGAGTTAGAGTCATGGAACTATAGCCTTTTTCTCTCCAATATGCCTGGCTCTGGCTCCATTGTCTACTTGCCAGCTTGTTGAGACATTATGAAAATTTTTTCTTATTTTATTGTTTTCTTACTGGTGCCTGTTCTAGTTACTTACTGTGGATGCAGCTGTAGTTGTTGTTAGCATTGTAGAAATAGTGGTTGCAGGTGTTTAATTTTATGCTGGAATGTGTTTTTTTCAACTTAGATTTTTTTTGTGATTTTTAAATTCTGACTTTGTCTTAATTTGGTTAATGTAAATTAGAGAGAAGTATCAAAATCATTATCCAAAAAGGTATAATACTTGATTGAAGTAACTTTATTGAAGTTAAATATATATAAAATAAAATTTGCTGTTTTTACCATTTTAAGTGTTTAATTCAGTGACATTAATTACTTCACAATGTTGTATGACCATCACCAATATTTCCAAAGCATTTTCATGGCTCCAGACAGAGACTCTGTAATCATTAAGCAATAACTACTCATTTCTCCCTCCCCACAGCCCTTGGGAACCTCTGGTCTGCTTCTGTCTTTATGAATTTACCTATTCTAGATATTTTAGATTTATATAATATTTGCCCTTTTATATCTGGCTTATTTCACTTAGCACAGTGTTTTCAAGATTCTTCCATGTTGTAGCATGTATCAGAGCTTCATTTCTTTCTTTGTTTTTTTGAGACTGAGTCTAGCTCTGTCGCCCAGGCTGGAGTGCAATGGCACGATCTTGGCTCACTGCAACCTCCGCCTCCTGGGTTCAAACCATTCTCCTGCCTCAGCCTCCTGAGTAGTTGGGACTACACGTGCCCGCCACCACGCCCGGCTAATTTTTTGTATTTTTAGTAGAGACAGGTTTCACTATGTCGGCCAGGCTGGTCTCAAACTCCTGACCTCATGAATCGCCCGCCTTGGCCTCCCAAAGTGCTGGGATTACAGGTGTGAGCCACTGCATCTAGCCTCAGAGGTTCGTTTCTTTTTACGGCTGAATAGTATTGTGTTGTGTATATACACTACATTTTGTTTATGCATTTTTCTGCTGATGGACACAGGTTGTTTCCACCTTTTTGGCTGTTGTGACTGATGATGCAATGAACAGTGGCATGCAAGTATTTCTTGGAGTTACTGTTTTCAGTTCTTTTGGGTATATACCTAGGAGTGGAATTACTGGGTTATATTCTAATTCTATGTTAATTTTTTGAGGAACCAACAGTTTTACTCACTCTTTTAGCCCATTTTACCCATTCTTGCTAGCAATGATACTATTCTTTTTAAAGAAAGCATTGCTAATGGGGTACATGCAAATATCTCACTTTTGAAAAAACTGTATCTCATGGATGTTGTCATTTGCCTTGCTTTGATTATCAGTGAGGCTGAATATTTTTCTGCTTATTAATAACTTATATTCCTACTTTTGTAAATTGCCTCGAGGTTTTTTTTTTTTTTTTTGTAAATGTAGGTCACTGACATTTTGCAGAGTTTATATTAATCTTCAACAAAGTTAACCTGTTTATCTCTGCCAAAAGTATGGGTCATTTTTAATGCTGACCTCTGCCTGTTGGTCTTGTCAAAGAGTAACATGTAAGTTCTCCCTGGCAGAACTCAAGTCCAGACTTCTTAGGAACTCTGAATTGTTGAACAGAGTAAAAGTAAGTGTAGGTAAGAAATGTAGTTTTGGCTGACAGAATGATGAACAAAGCAATTACATATTCACTGCTCCTCAATTTGTGTCATTTTCAAGGTGGTAAACATGAAGGCTAAGTCTTATCTAAGTTACTTGGAAGAAGTGTTGTGGAAGGTTGCTATGAATCCATTCATTCTGTGTATTTTATCTTCTCCTTAGGTGGTCCATGAGTTGGAACTTTATAACACAGGATATTATTTAGGCATGTTCATGAATTCTTTTGCAGTCTTTCAGGTATGTTTTGCTTACTATATTGAAAAGATATTAATGCTTTTTACTATTGCAAACCCTTTCAGAATTAGTGATCATTTTGAGATGTTAACCTTTTGTTAAATGTGTCACTGAAGTGCAGTCTCATGTAAGTATAATTTGAAATGGAAAGATAATCATCTTTCCAGTTTTAAAAGTGAATGGGGGGGCGGGGTCAACTGTATCCAGCATTGGGAGCGAGAGGTGGATACGAGTCAGGATCAATCCTGCTAACACAGTGAACCGTCTATAAAAAATAAAAAAACTAGCCGGCGAGGTGGGGGCCTGTAGTCCAGCTACTCGGGAGCTGAGGCAGGAGATGGCATGAACTGGAGACGGAGCTTGAGGAGCGAGATCCATGCATCGCCTGGGGAAGAGCGAGATCCGTTCCAGAAAAAAAAAAAAAAAAAAAAAAAGTGAATGGAACAATTCACCATTGGAAAAGTTAATAGAATTGACATTAAACAAATAATTTTTCCTTTATGTACATGTATTTCCGTATAAATATATTTTATATATATTTCCTTGACTGAAATGGCTCTTTATGCATGAGTGTGTGTGCGCGTGTGTGTGTAAGATCAATGTGTGTGTTTGAGTGTGAAAGATCGATTTGTGTGTGCGTGTGTGTGAGAAAGATTGATGTGTGTGCGTGTGTGTGAGAAAGATCGATATGTGCATGCGTGTGTGTAAGATCGATGTGTGTGTGCGTGTGTGAGAAAGATCGATGTGTGCGTGCATGTGTGTAAGATCGATGTGTGTGTGCGTGTGTGTGAGAAAGATCGATGTGTGTGTGCGTGTGTGTGAGAAAGATCGATGTGTGTGTGCGTGTGTGTGAGAAAGATCGATGTGTGTGTGCATGTGTGTGTGTGTAAGATGTGTGTGTGCATGTGTGTGTGTGTTTGAGTGAGAAAGATCGGTGTGTGTGTGTGAGAAAGATCGGTGTGTGTGTGTGTGTAAGATCGATGTGTGTTTCATGTGTGTGTAAGTGAGAAAGATTGGTGTGTGTGTGTGTGTGTGTGAGTGAGAAAGAGAAAGGTTGAATGTATGTGCATGTGTGTACCTAAGCTCTCAAAAATGAGCACAAGTGAGCAGTGTGGGAGAATGCCTTGATAATTCAGAGAGCATTTAAACTGGTGTTTTAAAAGAAAATTAAAATTATTCTTTTTAGGAGTGTGGACTCTGGGTATTGACAGATGCAAACCTCACGAAGGATTATATTGATGGTGTTTGTAAGTAATATATGGCAACATGCTTGTATTTGTCTTTCACATGATATTCAACACTACTTATATAGGTATGGGTATTTTCTAGATGAACATAGAGATTGTGATTTTCATTTTTCTGTTCTCTTCTCCCAAAATGTTTGGAGTTTAATGTACTTGGAAGTACATCTGGGCCATGACATGGAATGTTCATCTGAGCTCCTGTCTAGATCTTTGAAGTGAATGCCTTCCTTTTTCTCTTGTTAATCCTTTGAGGTAGTTATATTTTTGGACATACTGGAAGCTGCTGTGCCTCTGATTTGTATCACAAACTGTGCTATTCTTTTGGAATTATTTAAAAGGAGCAACATATTTTTGAAATATTTTCGTTCTCTAGCTTTTTGATGTTCACCTAGAAAATAGCCCAGATGCCATCATGCCATAAAGTATTCTGGTACACACACACACACACACACACACACACACACACACACACCCATCAATCTGAGTTCTTCCTGGGCAGGATTATATCTGTACATCCTAGTTTCTTGAATTGCTAAATATAGTTGGCTACCAACTAATAGTAAGTGTGCTTTTAGAAAGAAGTCATAAAATATTTTGACTGAAGGAAATGTATAAATTAGAATGGTTAACCTTAGAAGGGGTTCTCTTTTCTTTCAGGTAAAATTATACTAATATCATCTTGAAAGGCTTCTAGAACTGTCACAGTTTCTATCCCTGAATTCCCTGTTTCTGTCAGGTATTTTGTTATTCCGTGCTAAGCCCCAGGGTCTCTTTGGGCTGATTCTTACCTGATCCTCTGTCCTGAAACTTAAAAGATAATTTTATAGTCTTGAAGATGTTATGAAGTCGTTATGATTTCTCTATATTAAAGACATGTGATTCATTTGGCTTTCTTCACATAACCCTGTATCGTAGACAGTCTTCCAAGCATCTTTTTCCATTTTTCAGTCTCAGTTTTTGCCCATCTTTGTTCTTTTTTACATATTGAATCCTTCTTGATGCCCACTGTAATACCCATTCTCTTGCCAGTAATACTTACTGTATCCTTTACCTTTTCTGAAAACCTTCTTCTACCTTTTCACTGTAATAGAAGGAACCCGAACTCTCACTGGCACATTATGTCTCTGGACACCTTCCCAAGTGATTGACATTCATTCTGTGTGTGGAGTTTACAATTCATTCTCTCCAGTGACTGTTTTTCTAACTCTTGTCCATGTTTATTTATAGATGACAATGCAGAATATGCTGAGAGGTTTATGGAGGAAAATGAAGGACATGTTGATATTCAAGACTTTTCTTTGGGTAGCAGTCCACATGTCCGAAAGCATTTTCCGGAGACTTGGATTTGGCTAGACACCAACATGGGGTAAAAACTTACAAAGTTCTTTGCCCATATATATTTTGTTCAGTGTTTGTTTTAAATAAGCTTTGCCCTCTTTCTAATGTTTAAGTACAAACATAGTGTAACTAAGAACTAAGTAGACCAAAATGATTTTTTAGGAAATGATATTTATTGAATCCGAATACAGTTTTTGATAAAGCCACACACAAATTATGGCAGGAAGGTCTCATCAATGAGGAGACAGGCTTTTTTTTTTTTTTTTTAATTAATGAAGGGCGATTTTGACTTCCTTGAAGTCTCATGATTCTTCTTGAAGAAAAATTGCTGGGAGTACATTTGTTGTCACAGGATGGGAAGCACTCATGATTATCTCCTGCGACCCCTGGCAGTGCTGCTAACTGAACCATACTCCTCACAAAACATTCCCAGGAGTCACAGGGAGAAGGGGCATGGGTGGTGGAAGGAATTCAGCTTAGCTGATAAAACCCGTACTACCTGGCCTGATAATTGAGCAGGTAAATCATGAAATCCACATCGTATTTTATAGTCAGCTGTTTAAAGATACTTGAATTAGCACATGAGTGAAATCTCAGGTAAACAAATAACAGCATTGACAGGGATACACAGAAAAACTTCTGCAAATTTAGAGAAAAAATTGGAGTTAAGGTTGAAAATATGTATTTATTATTTATAAAAAATTTGTGAAAAAGTGATGTTTATTCTGAAGATGTAAATATTGCAGGAAGATTTTATTAGAATATGGATTAATATGCAGTATTATGACCTTGCGATGACCTATTCTTTGAAAAGTTGGAATCTACTATTTTATAGTTAAACCTTTTAAATGGTTTTAAATTCAGATATGCAAATAATATGAAAAATTGAACTTCTTCCAAAAATAGTTTAGATTATGTTGACTTATTTCAATGTATCCCAGCACTTTGGGAGGCCGAGGCGGGCGGATCACAAGGTCAGGAGATCGAGACCACAGTGAAACCCCGTCTCTACTAAAAATACAAAAAATTAGCCGGGCGCGGTGGCGGGCGCCTGTAGTCCCAGCTACTCAGGAGGCTGAGGCAGGAGAATGGCCGGAACCCGGGAGGCGGAGCTTGCAGTGAGCCGAGATCGCGCCACTGCACTCCAGCCTGGGCAACAGCGAGAGACTCCGTCTCAAAAAAAAAAAAAAAAAAAAAAAAAAAAAAAAAAAAAACAAAATGTATCGGTTCTTGGTTTTTGTGATGTTTATGTTTATTATCTTGACTTCAGTTCTAGGATTTACCAAGAATTTGAAGTAACTGTACCTGATTCTATCACTTCTTGGGTGGCTACTGGTTTTGTGATCTCTGAGGACCTGGGTCTTGGACTAACAAAGACTCCAGTGGAGGTATTGTATTAAAGAGCTGCTTATCAATGTTACAGTGACATTAAGCTAATAGAGCATCAGCTCCTCAATGTTTTCTTTTTTTTTTTTAAATGACTGCTTATAATGTTTATCACCGTTTAGAGATTCCTTGGCTTCGTCTTTTGCTTTTTATCTGTTTTATATTTAAGAATGTGAGCTATATTTAGCTTTATAAACTGTTAAATATGGGAAGCCCATATTAACATTTGGGTAGAAAAGTTTATTATTGACCTGAACTAACCATCTCCAAAGGCCGGAAGAGAGAGAAAGGAAAAGAAAGAGAGAGAGAAAGGAGAGGAGAGAGTGAGTTTTTCTATTTGTCCTCTTCAAGAATGAACAGAACTTCTCAAGATGTTCGCTAGCCAATATTCCATCATGTCTTTTGGTCAAATTGCATCATATATTGTTTTCTAAGCCAGTCACTGGCAGGAGGAATATAATGGCCATGAGTGGCCTGAATTGTCTCATTTGAAATTGAAATGTAATTTCAATTTACAAAATAGTTGTATTCATGAAAAATTCAGTGTATATTGAAAAATGCTTTGGGTTTATATAGAAATTGGAATTAGATTGTAAGCTCAGGCCATTATAAACAGACAATTCAGCTACATAAATGTCTGAAGGGACATTCAAGAATCATGAGGAACATGGGGCAATTTTTCATTGTCTGGGGCTATCCTGAGTATTGCAGACTGTCATCCACTAACTACCTATAGCACCTTCGAGTCATGGTGACAGTCTAAGACACCTTCACAAGTGTCCAGATAAACTCTAGAGGGAGTTACTGCTGCCAGCAAAACCACTGGCCTAAACTAATCCAAGTTTAGCTTTAGATGCAGGGGTGGGGCTTGGCCTTTTCTGTAGGACTTGGCCAATAATATCAGAATTGGATCACTGAGGAGGAAGCACATGTATTCAGATGTCCCACACATTTTCTCATCTGTATGTAAAAATAAATTGTATATATGTTTTAGAAATAATTTCCAATTTCCTCTTTAAATTTAGTCAGGAGGCACATGTATTCAGATGTCCCACACTAGAACAGGGGCTGCTGGATTTGGCAGGACTTTTAAAGCAGATTGGTGGAGTCAATACAGTATGAAAGAAGAGCAAATTGCTTTGGGATTAGACAGGCTGGGTTCTAGTTCTGGCTCCTCTACTTGCCAGCAATATGAATTTGTACTAGTTACAAAAATCTCTAAAATTTAATTTTCTTTTCTATAAAGTAGGAGCCTAACAGTAACCTCATGGGGTTGTAATGACCAAACAAAATAATGTATGTGAAGATCTTGGTTGCTATAAGGCACTGAATAAAGTATCGTGATGATTATGTTAAGTAACATAAATCAAGTCAATTTGCCATCATTCATTTGTGATAAGTTGCTGTTTGCTTTCTGTTGATAGCAAGTTGACATTTCTAGCTGAAGTTAAAAGCTTCACAGGTTTTATGAAGATTGCATTTAATTGCATAAAATGTGAAGAATTTTGACCTGAATAAAAATATGTACTCATTGTGTTCTTTCCAGCTGCAAGCCTTCCAACCATTTTTCATTTTTTTGAATCTTCCCTACTCTGTTATCAGAGGTGAAGAATTTGCTTTGGAAATAACTATATTCAATTATTTGAAAGATGCCACTGAGGTAATATATTCAAACTTTTGTTGATCATTTACACTACAGGAGAAAATGGAGGTAGCACGAAGGGATTGGGTTGTGTAGTATCTGGGCATTTGGGATTCTAAGCACTTTATACATTTCTGGGAGACTGAAAATAGACCTGTCTTTTCAGTGATTTCTTCTGCTAATTAATGTCTAAGGATATCATTAGCATGTCTACATATTACCTCCTTGAATTTTCAGCATAGGTTTTCTACTTTTGCCATGGAAGTTCCTTATTGTCCCTGAAGCATGCCTTTCTCTTTCCTGCCTCCCTGCATTTTCCCCTGGTTTTCCCCACATCTGGAATGTGTGGCCACTTCTCACTGCCACTCTGTGCCCACTGCAGTTTTTTTTTTTTTTGAGACAGGGTCTTGCTCTGTCGCCCAGGTTGGAGTGCAGTGGCGTGATCTTGGATCACTGCAATTTTCGTATTTTTCATAGAGACAGAGTTTTGCCATGTTGGCCAGACAGGTCTTGAACTCCTGGCCTCAAGTGATCCGCCTGCGTTGGCCTCCCAAAGTGCTGGCATTACGGGCATGAGCCACAGAACCCGGCTGCCATTCTGTTATGTTTGTAGCCCCCATGTTTATATTTTCAAGGATTCACTACTGGATTCATGTACTTTGTATCTCCTTAGCTAGTCATTTCCCCAGGAGGCAGGAATTAGGTTCACTGTTTGTGTTGTGCCCACAGTATGTTAACCAAGTGACTGATTTTTTCTTCCCCCAGAATAAATAGGGATATGTAATTAACTTTATTACATGCATGAAAATGCCATAATCTCTTTAGGCACTTTATACATAAACTTTTTAAATTAAAAATTTAATTTTTTAAGCTTTTTATTGGCATACTTGGCTGACAATGTGGGAAGTCAATTTTTTTTTATTTTTAAATTTTACTTTTTAACCCGGTCATCATGGTACTGTTTAACAAGCAAAAGATCTAGAGTCAAAAGGCCTGGATTCAATGTTGAATCTACCACTTACCAACAAGTGACTTAATTGTAGTTTCCACATCTATAAAATGGAAATGATAATTATTATACCCATAAAAGATACTCTGAGAAGCAGATGAAAAAATCAATGGGAAAATAATTAATAAAATGTAAGGCCTAGATAAATGCTATTATTGATGAGACTGGTAACTTTGGGATAATTTATAAAAGTTTACAACCAAGATATGCTTCAGGACTAATGTCTGAGTTGTACTTTCCCTGCAATAGTTTTTTACAGAGACTTTGATAAATTCAGTAACATTTCATGCTGTTTTCTTCATATTTTTCTAATGGGACCAGTATGTTCCAGGATGACATAGTTAAATCAAGCTGGTGGTAATATCAATATATGAAATAGCCTTTCTGTGCACATCCTTAGAGAGAATTTAATATTAGCGGGACGACTAGAAATGGGGCTAAAGAGTGCGCTTTCCCCACCTATCTTGAGGTTGAAGGGAAAGCATAGAAAGGAAAGGAAGTTTTTCCTGATACCCTTTGATACTCTCCTTGGTCAAATCTTTGTCTCGTCTTTTCTCTAGTCTTTAGCCTCACAGATTTGACAGTACTTAAATTGGTGATGAAAGAGTACTTTACTGAAGGGCATTTATTATACAAAACCTTTGATTTGTTTTTTCTTTCAGGTTAAGGTAATCATTGAGAAAAGTGACAAATTTGATATTCTAATGACTTCAAGTGAAATCAATGCCACAGGCCACCAGCAGACCATTCTAGTTCCCAGTGAGGATGGGGCAACTGTTCTTTTTCCCATCAGGCCAACACATCTGGGAGAAATTCCTATCACAGTCACAGCTCTTTCACCCACTGCTTCTGATGCTATCACCCAGATGATTTTAGTAAAGGTAAATATTTGATGTCTGAAAGCAATGAAATGGAAATACATAATTAAAAAGAGCAGAAGATTTTTTTCTCTTGGTTAAATTTTTTGGCATATCTAGTAGGTCGTCTTCTTTACCCTTCTGGTAATGCCTAATCACTTTGTCGTCTGTATGTAAAAATAAATCATTGAGAAATAATTGCCAATTTCCTCTTTAAATTTAGTCAGGAATGTGACTATAAAGACTAACATCTCTTTTGCAGTCATTTACATCTACAGACTGTGTTACATTGGGATCCTATTAAAACACGGTCAAGTTGATTTGTGGATTTGGAATTTTGGAATGTTTCAGTGAAGGTAAAAGAGATTTTGTAGATTTTTTTCAGAGAAGACATTCTAGACAGAAAGATAATGAGCATAGTGGATGAACACTTGTATTCTGGGGTGAGGCAACCCTGTGTTTGAATCTCAGCTCTGCCAAGTATGATTTTGAACAAGGCATTTAATCTCCCTGTCTTTGGATAATAATAGGAACTACCTCAAAGGGTTTTTCTCCTTACATTTTCATCTTCTTCTCTGTCATTTCCTTTTTTTTTGTTATTACATTTGAAGTTCTAGGGTACATGTACACAACGTGCAGATTTGTTACGTATGTGTACATGTGCCATGTTGGTGTGCTGCACCCATTAACTCGTCATTTGCATTAGGTATATCTCCTAATGCTATCCCTCCCCCATCCCCCCACTTCACAACATGCCCCGGTGTGTGATGTTTCCCTTCCTGTGTCCAGGTGTTCTCATTGTTCAATTCCCACCTGTGAGTGAGAACATGCGGTGTTTGGTTTTCTGTCCTTGCGATAGTTTGCTGAGAATTATGGATTCCAGCTTCATCCATGTCCCTACAAAAGACATGAACTCATCCTTTTTCATGGCTGCATAGCAGTCCATGGTGTATATGTGCCACATTTTCTTAATCCAGTCTATCATCAATGGACATTTGGGTTGGTTCCAAGTCTTTGCTATTGTGAATAGTGCCGCAATAAACATACATGTGCATGTGTCTTTATAGCAGCATGATTTATAATCCTTTGGGTATATACCCAGTAATGGGATGGCTGGGTCAAATGGTGTTTCTGGTTGTAGATCCTTGAGAAATCACCAAAGTGTCTTCCACAATGGTTGAACTAATTTACAGTCCCACTAACAGTGTAATAGTGTTCCTATTTCTTCACATCCTCCCTAGCACCTGTTGTTTCCTGACTTTTTAATGATCGCCATTCTAACTGGTGTGAGGTGGTATCTCATTGTGGTTTTGATTTGCATTTCTCTGATGACCAGTGATGATGAACATTTTTTCATGTGTCTGTTGGCTGCATAAATGTCTTCTTTGGAGAAGTGTCTGTTCTTTGCCCACTTTTTGATGGGGTTGTTGGTTTTTTTTTTTTTTATTTTTTTGTAAATTTGTTTGAGTTCTATGTAGATTCTGGATATTAGCCCTTTGTCTGATGAGTAGATTGCAAAAATTTTCTCCCATTCTGTAAGTTGCCTGTTCACTCTGATGGTAGTTTCTTTTGCTGTGCAGAAGTTCTTTAGTTTAATTAGATCCCATCTGTCAATTTTGGCTTTCATTGTCATTGCTTTTGGTGTTTTAGTCATGAAGTCCTTGCCCATGCCTATGTCCTGAATGGTATTGCCTGGGTTTTCTTCTAGGGTTTTTATGTTTTTAAGTCTAACATTTAAGTCTCTAATCCATCTTGAATTAATATTTGTATAAGGTGTAAGGAAGGGATCCAATTTCAGTTTTCTACATATGGCTAGCCAGTTTTCCCAGCACCATTTATTAAATAGGGAATCCTTTTCCCATTTCTTGTTTTTGTCAGGTTTTTCAAAGATCAGATGGTTGTAGGTGTGGTATTATTTCTGAGGGCTATGTTCTCTTCCATTGGTTTATATCTCTGTTTTGGTACCAGTACCATGCTGTTTTGGTTACTGTAGCCTTGTAGTGTAGTTTGAAGTCAGGAGGTGTGATGCCTCCAGCTTTGTTCTTTTGGCTTAGAATTGTCTTGGCAATGTGGGCTCTTTTTTGGTTCCATATGAACTTTAAAGTAGTTTTTTCCAATTCTGTGAAAAAAGTCATTGGTAGCTTGATGGGGATGGCATTGAATCTATAGATTACCTTGGGCAGTATGGCCATTTTCATGATATTTATTCTTCCTATCCATGAGCATGGAATGTTCTTCCGTTTGTTTGTGTCCTCTTTTATTTCACTGAGCAGTGGTTTGTAGTTCTCCTTGAAGAGGTCCTTCACATCCCTTGTAAGTTGGATTCCTAGGTATTTTATTCTCTTTGAAGCAATTGTGAATGGGAGTTCACTCATGATTTGGCTGTTTGTCTGTTATTGGTGTATAGGAATGCTTGTGACTTTTGCACATTGATTTTGTATCCTGAGACTTTGCTGAAGTTGCTTATCAGCTTAAGGAGATTTTGGGCTGAGACAATGGGGTTTTCTAAATATACAATCATGTCTTCTGCAAACAGGGACAATTTGACTTCCTGTTTTCCTAATTGAATACCTTTTATTTCTTTCTCTTGTCTGATTGCCCTTGACAGAACTTCCAACACTCTGTTGAATAGGAGTGGTGAGAGAGGCCATCCCTGTTTTATGCTGGTTTTCAAAGGGAATGCTTCCAGTTTTTGCCCATTCAGTATGATATTGGCTGTGGGTTTGTCGTAAATAGCTCTTAATATTTTGAGATATGTCCCATCAATACCGAATGTATTGAGAGTTTTTAGCATGAAGGGCTGTTGAATTTTGTCAAAGGCCTTTTCTGCATCTATTGAGATAATCATGTGGTTTTTGTTGTGGGTCCTGTTTATATGATGGATTACGTTTATTGATTTGCATATGCTGAACTAACCTTGCATCCCAGGAATGAAGCCCACTTGATCATGGTGGATAAGCTTTTTGATGTGCTGGATTCGGTTTGCCAGTCTTTTATTGAGGATTTTTGCATCGATGTTCATCAGGGATATTGGTCTAAAATTCTCTTTTTTTGTTGTGTCTTTGCCACGCTTTGGTATCAGGATGATGCTGGCCTCATAAAATGAGTTGAGGGAGGATTCCCTCTTTTTCTATTGTTTGGAATAGTTTCAGAAGGAATGGGACCAGCTCCTCCTTGTACCTATGGTAGAAATCGGCTGTGAATATGTCTGGTCCTGGACTTTTTTTGGTTGGCAGGCTATTAATTATTGCCTCAATTTCAGAACCTGTTATTGGTCTATTCAGGGATTCAACTTCTCCCTGGTTTAGTCTTGGGAGGGTGTAAGTGTCCAGGAATTTATCCATTTCTTCTAGATTTTCTAGTTTATTTGCATAGAGGTGTTTATAGTATTCTCTGATGGTAGTTTGTATTTCTGTGGGATCAGTGGTGATATCCCCTTTGTCATTTTTTATTGAGTCTATTTGATTCTTCTCTCTTTTCTTCTTTATTAGTCTTGCTAGTGGTCTATCAATTTTGTTGATCTTTTCAAAAAACCAGCTCCTGGATTCATTGATTTTTTGAAGGGTTTTTTGTGTCTCTATCTCTTCAGTTCTGCTCTGATCTTAGTTATTTCTTGCCTTCTGCTAGCTTTTGAATGTGTTTGGTCTTGCTTCTCTAGTTCTTTTAATTGTAATGTTAGGGTGTCAATTTTAGATCTTTCCAGCTTTCTCTTGTGGGCATTTAGTGCTATAAATTTCCCTCTATACACTGCTTTAAATGTGTCCCAGAGATTCTGGTATGTTGTGTCTTTGTTCTCATTGGTTTCAAAGAACGTCTTTATTTCTGCCTTCATTTTGTTATGTACCCAGTAGTCATTCAGGAGCAGGTTGTTCAGTTTCCATGTAGTTGAGCAGTTTTGAGTGAGTTTCTTAATCCTGAGTTCTAGTTTGATTGCACTGTGGTCTGAGAGACTGTTATAATTTCTGTTCTTTTACGTTTGCTGAGGAGTGCTTTACTTCCAACTATGTGGTCAGTTTTGGAATAAGTGTGATGTGGTGCTGAGAAGAATGTATATTGTGTTGATTTGAGGTGGAGAGTTCTATTGATGTCTATTAGGTCTGCTTGGTGCAGAGCTGAGTTCAATTCCTGGATATCCTTGTTAACTTTCTGTCTCCTTGTTCTGTCTAATGTCAACAGTGGGGTGTTAAAGTCTCCCATTATTATTGTGTGGGAGTCTAAGTCTCTTTGTAAGTCTCTAAGGACTTGCTTTATGAATCTGGGTGCTCCTGTTTTGGGTGCATATTTATTTAGGATAGTTAGCTCTTCTTGTTGAATTGATCCCTTTACCGTTATGTAATGGCCTTCTTTGTCTCTTTTGATCTTTGTTGATTTAAAATCTGTTTTATCAGAGACTAGGATTGTAACCCCTGCCTTTTTTTGTTTTCCATTTGCTTGGTAGATCTTCCTCCATCCCTTTATTTTGAGCCTATGTGTGTCTCTGCATGTGAGATGGGTCTCCTGAATACAGCACCCTGATGAGTCTTGACTCTTTATCCAATTTGCCAGTCTGTGTCTTTTAATTGGAGCATTTAGTCCATTTACATTTAAGGTTAATATTGTTATGTGTGAATTTGATCCTTTCATTATGATGTTAGCTGGTTATTTTGCTCATTCATTGATGCAGTTTCTTCCTAGCATCGATGGTCTTTACAATTTGGCATGTTTTTGCAGTGGCTGGTACTGATTGTTCGTTTCCATGTTTAGTGCTTCCTTCAGGAGCTCTTGTAGGGCAGGCCTGGTGGTGACAGAATCTCTCAGCATTTGCTTGTCTGTCAAGGATTTTATTTCTCCTTCACTTATGAAGCTAATTTGGCTGGATATGAAATTCTGGGTTGAAACATCTTTTCTTTAAGGATGTTGAATATTGGCCCCCACTCTCTTCTGGCTTGTAGAGTTTCTGCTGAGAGATCACCTGTTAGTCTGATGGGCTTCTCTTTGTGGATAATCCAACCTTTCTCTCTGGCTACGTAGTTATCATGCCTTGGTTTTCAGCTCCATCAGGTCATTTAAGGACTTCTCTACATTGGTTATTCTAGTTAACCATTCGTCTAATCTTTTTTCAAGGTTTTTAGTTTCTTTGCGATGGGTTCAAACTTCCTCCTTTTGCTTGGTGAAGTTTGATCGTCTGAAGCCTTCTTCTCTCAACTCGTCAAAGTCATTCTCCGTCCAGCTTTGTTCCATTGCTGGCGAGGAGCTGCTTTCCTTTGGAGGGGGAGAGGGGCTCTGATTTTTAGAATTTTCAGCTTTTCTGCTCTGTTTTTTCCCCATATTTGTGGTTTTGTCTACCTTTGGTCTTTGATGATGGAGATGTACAGATGGGGTTTTGGTGTGGGTGTCCTTTCTGTTTGTCAGTTTTCCTTCTAACAGTCAGGACCCTCAGCTGCAGGTCTGTTGGTGTTTGCTGGAGGTCGACTCCAGACCCTGTTTGCCTGGGTATCAGCAGCGGAGACTGCAGAAGAGTGAATATTGCTGAACAGCAAATGTTGCTGCCTTATCATTCCTCTGGAATCTTCACGTCAGAGGGGTACCCGGCCATGTGAGGTGTCAGTCTGCTCCTACTGGGGGGTGCCTTCCAGTTAGGCTACTCAGGGGCCAGGGATCCACTTGAGGAGGCAGTCTGTCCATTCTCAGATCTCAAACTCCTTGCTGGGAGAACCACTACTCTCTTCAAAGCTGTTAGACAGGGACATTTAAGTCTGCAGAGGTTTCTGCTGCCTTTGGTTTTGCTGTTGATGTTCTTCTTAATGTTAAAGTCTCTGAACAGTATTCAGGGCTCCTTCAGCGTTTAAGAAGTAGTCATCTCCATGTTTACACATTTTTGTTTCATTTTTTCTTTCCAAGCTTTCCATCCTCTTTTCAATAAAGGAACTGCATCTCGCTCTGTTGTCCAGGCTGGAGTGCAGTGGCGTGATCTTGGCTCACTGCAACCACCGCATCCTGGGTTCAAGCGATTCTCCTGCCTCAGCCTCCCAAGTAACTGGGATTACAGGTGCCTGCCACCAGGCCCAACTAATTTTTGTATTTTTAGTGTAGATGGGGTTTTACCATGTTGGCCAGGCTGGTCTCAAACTCCTGACCTTTAATCTACCCACCTCGGCCTCCCCCAAGTACTTCTTCTTTGTCATTTTCAAGGCCAGTCCATGAGATGCCTTATCTAATTTAACTAGAACTTACTAACAGATTTGAAGTAAGAATAACAAAATTTTAGGCACTGTGTCATCAGATTTAATTCAGTTCCATGGAAATGGTGCCTATTAAGTGTAAATCCTATTGAAAAACACATTTCAGTTAATGAAGTGTACTGTACTTAGTGAGAAAATGTAAAAGTAGGAAAAATTAATCAAAGTTATGGTAATTTATTATAATACAAACTAACAAGAAAACTCATTCTGTGAAATGAATATATTACTTGTTTAAATAAAATATCTAATTTAAAGAAAACAAAAGAAGAAATGATAGGTGCTTATCTAGCCATACACAAACCTTAGACATAACAGGTCAGATGTTTGTGTTCATATCTGTGTATAGTTCTCTGTAAATATGTGAGTAGAGACCATGTTGATTGTGTTCATTTTTTTCAACAGGCTGAAGGAATAGAAAAATCATATTCACAGTCCATCTTATTAGATTTGACTGACAATAGGCTACAGAGTACCCTGAAAACTTTGAGTTTTTCATTTCCTCCTAATACAGTGACTGGCAGTGAAAGAGTTCAGATCACTGCAATTGGTAAGAATAGAGTATATCACCATTGATTGATTTAATTGTATGCAATCATATATGTTGTTCCTGTAATTATAGATGTATTTTCTTATTGAGTCCTAATAAGAAGAGATGGCAAAAGTTTTAAATTGGGCCCAACAACTGATTATAATATGAAGGCTGGCAAATCATGTATCCTAAAATAGTTCTCAGTCATCAATGTGCATAAGAATCACCTGGGAGTCTGGTTTACTAGGTCTGGAGTGGGGCCTGGGAATCTGCATTTCAAACAAGCTCCTAGGTGTTGGTGATAGTTTTGGCTTGTAGACCACACTTTGAGTAGCAAGGCCTCACTATACTGTGACTGGAGGTAGGGGTCATTCCTAAGACCAGAGCTTCTGGCTTCTGCGGCTCTCCGCCACTGGTGAATATCAGAATCTTCTAAGGAGCTCTATAAATACAGAAATGTCTAAGCTCTACTCTAGACCTACTAAGTCAGAATCGCTTGGGCTATGACTTGGTCATGTATATCTTAAAAAGCTTTCACAAGTGATTCTGATAACCAAAGGTTGAGTACTACTGCCCAGAGCAGTTCTCTGTGCAGGATATGAGTAACCTTTACAGTAGAAAGTTACTCACTGACTTCAGTCACCTCTCCTAGTTACTTTCCGTAACATAATAGTACTTTTCAAAAATTGGCAATTTATAATTGTATAAATTTATGGGATACAAAGTGGTATTATGATTTATGAATGCAATGTGGAATAACTAAATCAAGCTGGTTGACATACTCATCACCTCAAATTCTTAACTGTGTTTTTTGGTGGGGGAGAACATTTGAAATTTGCTCTCTGAGCACTATTTATTTATTTATTTTATTTTTGAGATGGAGTCTCACTCTGTCACCCAGGCTGGAGTGCAGTGGCGCGATCTTGGCTCACTGCAAGCTCTGCCTCCCAGGTTCATGCCATTCTCCTGCCTCAGCCTCCTGAGTAGCTGGGACTATAGGCACCCACCACCACGACTGGCTAATTTTTTTTGTATTTTTTAGTAGAGATGGGGTTTTACCATATTAGCCAGGATGGTCTTGATCTCCTGACCTCATGATGCACCTGCCTTGGCCTCCCAGAGTGCTGGGATTACAGGTATGAGCCACTGCGCCCGGACTTTATTTATTTATTTTGATGGAGTCTCTCTCTGTCTCCCAGGCTAGAGTACAGTGGCGGGATCTTGGCTCACTGCAACCTCTGCCTCTTGGGGTTCAAGTGAGTCTCCTGCCTCAGCCTCCTGAGTAGCTGGAATTACAGGCGCGTGCCACCACGCCCAGCTAGTTTTTGTATTTTTAGTAGAGATGGGCTTTCGCCATGTTGGCCAGGCTGGTCTCGAACCCCTCACCTCAGGTGATCCACCATCCTTGGCCCCCTAAAGTGCTGAGATTACAGGTGTGAGCCATGGCACTTGGCCTTTCTTAGCAGTTTGGAAATGTACAATACTCTTGTTATTAACTATATTTACCATGCTTAAAGTACTTTTTTTTTTTTTTTGAGATGGAGTCTTTCTCTGTACCCCAGGCTGGAGTGCAGTGGTGTGATCTCAGTTCACTGCAACCACTGCCTCCTGGGTTCAAGCAATTCTTATACCTCAGCCTTCCACGAAGCTGGGACTACAGGTGTGTGCCACCATGCCCTGCTAATTTTTTGTATTTTCATTAGAGACGGGATTTTACCATGTTGTCCAGGCTGGTCTCAAACCCCTCACCTCAGGTGATCCACCTGCCTTGGCCTCCCAAAGTGCTGGGATTACAGGCATGAGCCATTGCGCCCGGCCTAAAAGTATTTTTTTAATTAAACACAGTGTCTATACAATTGGTGTTATTAGTCAGGGTTCTCCAGAGAAACAGAACCAATAGGAGATACTTATATATAAAAGGAGGTTTATTATGAGGAATTGGCTCATGCAATTATGTAGGCTGAGAGGTCCCATGATCTGCTTTTGCAAGCCGGAGACCCAGGAAAGCTGGTAGTATAATTCACTCCGAGTCCACAGGCCTGTGAACCAGGGGAACTGATGATGTAAATCCCAGTCCTCGGAGAAGATGAGATGAGATGTCTCAGCTCAAGTAGTGTGGCAGGAAAAAAAGGTGAATTCCTCCTTCCTCAAACTTTTGTCTATTCAGGCTCTCAGTGGATTGGATGGTGCCCACACACACTGGGGAGGACAATCTGCTGGACCCAGTACACCAATTCAAATGCTAGTGTCATCTAGAAACACCCTCACAGACACTCAGAAACAATGCTTAATCTAGGCATCCCTCGGCCCACTGAAGTTGACACACAAAATTAACCCTCACGAATGGTTTGTTTATATAGTTGTGCTTTACAAATAACTGAAGAAAACATTTTAATTAATGACGTCTAATAGTTTGTTAGGTCTTTTTTTTTTGTGATGGAGTCTCGCTCTGTCGCCCAGGCTGGAGTGCAGTGGCAAGATCTCCGCTCACTGAAAGCTCCGCCTCCCGGGTTCATACCATTCTCCTGCCTCAGCCTCCCCAGTAGCTGGGACTACAGGTGCCCGCCACCACACCCTGCTGATTTTTTGTATTTTCAGTAAAGATGGGGTTTCACTCTGTTAGCCAGGCTTATCTTGAACTCCTGACCTCAGGTCATCCACCCGCCTCGGCCTCCCAAAGTGCTGGGATTACAGGCGTGAGCCACCGTGCCTGGCCTGTTTGTGAGGTCTTTAAGGTGTTAGGACCTAAAACACGTTTTTACAGTTCTTTTATATTTTCACTGGCAGGTGTAATGCTTTTTTATTATAACTCAAACAACCAGTCCGTAGGTAGAGGACTTTCTTTGGAGGCATATATATATGTGTGTGTGTGTATATATGTATATGTAGATATATACACATATATATACACACATATATATGTGTGTTTGTATCTATCTATCTATCTATCTATCTATCTATCTATCTATCTATCTATCTATTTTTTTTTTGGAAGAGAGGGTTTAGCTATGTGTGCCCCAGGCTGGACTTGAACTTCTGAGCTCATGCAGTCCTCCTGCATCAGCCCCTTGTGTAGCTGGGACTACAGGCATGCATCACTGTGCCTGGCCAATTCTTAAAAGGAATTAAATAAGCTCTCTATTTAGGGGAATAAATTCTTTTTAAGCATCTCACACAGTGTTGGGATGCTGGGAAATGCACTACACATACACACACACACATGCACACACGCACACATATACACAGAGGGAAGGAGCCTGGCTTTTTAAATATATACCATCACTCCTTACATAGGAACGATTCTATCTGTGGTCATGGAAATACCCTGAGGCTTAATTTTTATGCTTGATGTAAAGAATGGATTTTCAAGTTTTATTTTTACATGTTGTTTTAAAGGCCTATTTTGTATCCCAGAATGTATGAATTTTAGCTTCCTTCTTTGAACTTTGATAGTCTATGTTCACTTTGAATATTAAACACATAGCCTGCAGTGGTAATAATATAACCTCTATTTTTTTCTTTGTATTCACATCTAAAATTTAAGCAATGCTGGCACAGCTCCGGCCTATTCATATGAAACAGGTTCTTTTCCCTTTTTTTTTCATAATTTTTAGGATCACATTTTCACTAGGTATTTGGACTTGGCATGGTATAAGTTTTCAAGTAAACGACATAGAAGGATACTGTTATCTATACAGCTTAACAATGGCAGGGCCAAAATTAGAACTCAGCCTTCATATTTCTGAATTTTTACTATTTTTCCCTGAGTTGTGGTGTTGGGATGTGGGTAGAGGGTTTTTAAAGCATGTGTTTTGTTTAATTTTAGATTACTAACTTTGAAGAATATTCCTAATCCTTTTGATCCTGAGATTAATTGAAATAGTTGTATTTGTTGTTGCTAAATAGAACACATTGGAAAACACTACAATCCTCATTGTTTTTTAAAAAATTATTTCTGAAGTGCTTGTGGTGTATTAGTAAGAAATAAGAATAAAATTTTGTTTGCGTGAATACTACTAATAAAACGTTTCTTTCCTGTATGAGTGATGGTGTCTTACTGATCAATTCTGTACATTTTAAAAATTTTTTTAAAAAATTATTTTTTGCCTAATTTATGCCATATGCTTAACTGAGCTAAAAATGTCATCTTTCATCACACGACCTACAAGTTCAGTACCAGAGCATTGTTATTTTTTTGACCAGTCTTCTAAAAGCTTGATGTAAAGTTTCAACTGTGTTCTAAGCAGTGGAATATTCATATTGCTTCAATGACAGAGGCCTTCTGTACTCAGTGGAAGTCTCTTTGCCACCAGCAGGTAGTTGTTACTGAGTATTTACTGAATGAATTGCATGTCTTGTGCTTCCAGGAGATGTTCTCGGTCCTTCCATCAATGGCTTAGCCTCATTGATTCGGATGCCTTATGGCTGTGGTGAACAGAACATGATACATTTTGCTCCAAATATTTACATTTTGGATTATCTGACTAAAAAGAAACAACTGACAGATAATTTGAAAGAAAAAGCGCTTTCATTTATGAGGCAAGGTAAGCATTTTAGAGACCTACATTTGTTCGTAGAAAAAAATTTGTTTTTTTTTTCAGGTAAGGTTCATTCTAGACCATATTGCAAAATAGGTGGATTTTGTCTTAGGTAAGTGATGGGCTACACGGTGTTGTCATCTGCAGGAAGTGCAAACAGTGGAAAGCTGTTACTGTTCTTCCTTTAGCTAACTGTTCACTCACTGCTACTAAGATGTTTGTTAGTAATGGCTTAAGAGTTAGTTTCTGGAGGGGACTTGTAGTATACTAAGGGATCTGAAATTTAAAACTCCTTAAAAATCTAGAGGAATACTCATTCATTCATTATTTACACATTTGTGGAGTGTTTCTTAGTGCTAGGATCAGTTCTTGTGCCAAAAAAACAGAGGGAGCCAGGGCCTGTCTTCTTAAGGAATTCGCTGCTCAGTGGAGAAGATGGTTTGTATGTAAACAGATGCAGTGCTGTGTGGTGGGGACCTTCTCGGTGCATTTAAAATGTCAAGCAGATGGGGGTTAGGGGAGAAATGTTTGTATGAAGAGGACCTGCTGGACTCGAGGAAATGCCATGCTAGTGAAGACTGTATCCTGAATCCTTGAAAGGTGGCAACTGTTCACAGGCACCCAGATCCTTTGTTTTGGCAACTTGTTAATAATAGCAGTTGACATGACATGAGTGTGTCCTGTGTGGCAGGCAGTGTTCTAAGCACTTTACATCTCATACCTCATTGAAGGCTCACCATTAGTATTAGCATGATCCTGTTTTTTTGCAGATAAGGAAGCTGAGGTGTGGAAAAGTTAGCTAACTTGTCCAGGGTCATATAATCATATAGAGCTGGGATTTGGACTCTGAGCCTATGCTCTTGACATCCATACCTAGGAGGAAACAAAGAGATGTGAGACACATTTAATGATAATAGTAAAGTAAATTTGATTTTCTGAAATACTGCGAAAGCCAACCAAAAATTACAGTCTCAGTTTTTCATTTCCTTATTAGTGGACCTCTAGCACAAACTCTCTGGCTATTTATCTCTGCACAATTTGTATGATGTGTCCTGTCCATCAAATTCATGAAGATTAGAAGGGCTCACACAAACTGATGAAAAATGAGGATTCACTATAATCTAAGAAAAATGTAGTTCCACACTTTCCAACTCCTATTTTTTTTTAGTTTTTGTTTTTTGTAACAAATGGATTAAATGAAAAGTAGAGGCAAGCTATTAATTGATTGCTGATTTTTCCACAGAAGAATTAGAAAACTCGGTAAAGACGCCATTTTAATACAAGCTTTTCTTCCAGTTTCCCTTATTGTGTAGAGATTTTTTTTATTCTAAACTAATTCTATGTAATGACAGTAATAGCAACTAAGTCTGTTTAAATGTTTTATGCATGTTTCATTTAATTCTCACAAAAACTCTAGGAGTAGGTGTACCATTATTATTTCCATTTTATAGATGAGGAAATTGAGGTACAGAGAGGTTAAATAATTTACCCATGGTGGCCTGGCTTCACCGTCCACCTTGTTCCTCAGAACACTATGGGATAATTCTGATTTGCGGTGTTCTCGGGTTTTTAGAAGCAATGGGATATGATGGAAAGGACCAGGAATCGGGACAGGATGCTTGAGTATCACCACCGTGTAAGAAGTCTTACTGGAGGTTTTGATAAAATAGTAAGGGAGGAACATGGGATCCTGTAGGGAAGGAGGCACCAAAGGTTAGAATATGGAGTGTCAGATTAGACTTAAGTAAGCTATAAGGTGTTGGGTTTAAGTAGATGAGCTAGAGTCAGTGTCTGAAGATCTCCCTGGGATAGAATGGCACAGACAAAGGCTGAGTGGGAGTCAAGGGGTTGTGGGTCAGGAACAATGCAGTGTATGAGACCACAAACCAAGGGAGACCAGCGTTTAGAATCAGGGCTGAGTGTGGCCTGAGTTCTGATGTTGGGAAGGACATAGTGGTATATTTTCTCTTAGATTAGGGCCAGACCCTGCAGGCACTGTGACCAGCCCTGAAACGCAGCAGGTGGTTAGGTCCTCGGGGAAATTTGTAGAGCTCCAGCAGTTGGAATTTCCTGTATAGAGTTGCCCATGTAAAATTATCCTTGTTTATACACATTTGTGGATTGGTCATGTTTTAAATATATACATACAGGAATAACCTTTTTCAAACCTTATTATAATTAAATTTAAGTGGTATCAAGTGGTCTCTGTGGTATATTGTGTGCCATGCTAAAAACAAATGAGATCTTTACACATTGGCATAATGGCTGTAATTAAGGAGATAAGTAAAAATTATTTGGAATTATCATGATTGAACTTTGTAGCTTTTGAAAACAAGATTCCAATTTGTATTCAAGATTTAGTTTGTTTTGAAGTAGAAACTACATAGGGATTAAACTGGTGCTTTATAATTTGGTATATATTCTTTGGGATATTTTAATACAATAAGGTAAAATATTTTAGAAAATGCCACATAACTCCATATTTATATATGCTTTATGAGCTGTAACTTTGGCTAATCAAATATTAATGCTTTAAAAAGATAGAATAAATTTTACATAGCTTGAAACATGTAAGCAGTGAAAACTCATTCCTTAAAAATAATTTCAGTAGGTGTTTTAGATACTTTCGCTGTCAGCAGCCATCCTACAAAATGAATGGTCCAAATCCTCAGTATCTGTTGTTTTCCCAAAGCAGTGCTAGTCCCTCAGGTCAGTCCTGGCCAGGTAGGTGGCCAAACTGTAGTTTTTCGAAGTAACCCAGTGAGGGTCTCTACTAATTGCCTGAGATCCCTCCTCACATCTGTTGGTTGTTAGAAAGTGCAGTGGCCAGAGTGCAAAAAAAGCATCATTCTCTAAATGCCAAGTAGTCCTCCCAAGTGTTGAGGATGCTGAGCGCTACAGCTGTTAAGTAGGCGAGTCCCCCCTTGGGAGGAAGTAGATTGGGGCATAGCACTGGCTGTGGAGGCAGTCAGACCTAGGCTTGCATCCTGGCTCCCACCTTGGACCAGGTCCTTAGTCTCTCCAAGGCTTGGTTTTCTCACCTGCAAGACAGGGATAGTAAAAGAACCCGCTTAGATAATAAAAGAACTCCTTGTTTTGAGGAGTCAGTGAGATATGTCAGCATTTTATTCAACACATAATAAGTGCACAACGAATATCAGCTATATTAGAATTGGTTGCCTCTAACTAGGGAGTTAGGGGTTAATGTCAGCGAATAAATGCTGTCCATTCTCCCTCTAAAAACTGATATGAAATTCTTCTACTTCTCTCCATCCCACTGCTTATTGTTCCATACAAGCATGATTGCTCACTGGACTACTCCAATGGCTTGCTGAGTAGTCTGTCTTTTTCTGCGTTCCCTTCCCTTCTGTACATTCTCCATATAATATGAAAGGGATCTTTGAAAACGTCAGATCTTGTCACTTGCTTGCTTACGATCCTGCAGTGGGCTCCCAGCTTCAGCCTACAGGGTCCTGGGTGACCTGGCTTGGCCTCCCTCCTTAGCCTCATCTGGAGCTGGCTGTGTCTGGAACACTTTGAGCTCTGTGCTGCTTCAGGGACATGGCGCTTGCTCTTCCTTCTCCTGGCATGCTTTCCCCCTAGATCTTTCCATGGCTGCTCCTTTTCATCATTCAGTTGATGTTTGCCTCAGAGTGGCCTCCCCTGACCACTTAGTAACTCTAATTTGTACTACTCCATTTTATTTCTTCACTTAACATTATTTAAAATTCTGCTGTCCATCATCTGTCCCTGCATTTAGAGGGGGAGCTCTGTGACAGTGGGGACCATGTTTGACCTTCATTGTATAGCTATGTGGGCACTTCAATAAATCCAGAATGGGTGAATGACTTATTATTAATATTAACATTTTTGGACTTTAGGTCCATCATCCTAATGTGAATATTGGGTTCAGAAGATCTCTGAAGCGCCCCACAATGTAGTGTGATGATCTCTGGGCACTAATGGGTCTACCTGGCCTTGGCATTCTCTTAGCAGCTAAGAAGTGTGACCAGTGATTTCCGTGTGCTACTCTTTGAGCTGGTGAAGTGGCTGATGAAAGTCAGCACGGTGGAGCTTCCCAAAAATACATCATCTCACAAACTGAACTAAATTATATTTCAAAGTATTGGACAAAAGCTTCTCGGTATAATGCTTTTCATTATGAAATCAGTGTCTCATTTCAGAGTCTCTCTTTTTTCTTTTGCCATCACATTTGCCAAAGTCCTTTAAATATACCGTAGTTGTTTTTATTGTTTTAAGAAATTAAAGTAGCTTCGGTGTGAGTCATGATCATATTATTTAAATGTCATTTATGGAACAGCGCATTGTTTTACTTAAATCATGCTTGGCCCAGGAGTTCTGTAACCTAAGCTATTATTTTGTTGGTCGAAACAACAGCTACATCATTGAATGAAGTGTCTTTGCTGTCAAAAAGCAAAATGGAACCATAACATGAAAACTGTTTTTGATAAGGACTGGAAATCCTGAACCTGTTAATTGAAGATTTAAACCATTTGTTTTCCTCAGATATTTAAATCATAGTGCTTGCAGTTCAACTTTTTAAAGTGAGACTCAAACCAAGTCTAATTGAAAACATTTTATTTCCTCCATTGAAATAAAAACAAGAGAAAGAAGGCTTCAGAATTCGGATGTTGCCATTGGTCACAAGTATGGCTAGTGGCCATAACTTAAAAAATAGCTTAAAAAACCGTGATGTTCTCCCTTTCCATTTCATGTCATAGAAAGTAAGCAAGTTCATAATGATTTCTTTTAATACAGAGAATTTTTTTATCAGCTTATTACCAGAGAAAATTCTTGAAATAGTCACAAGTAGCCAACTTTACTTCTTTTATTTACTTGTAATTTTGACACTTAAGGTAAATCAAGTTAAACTATGTTTAGAATGTTACTTTTTCATTTGTTTGTGAACAGTGTTTTTATCTTTATTACAATAAAGTTTGAAATTTTACATTCATGGCTATTCCAAAGAAAATTTGTAACCCAGA